ATGACATTCCTGAACATGTTGATAAAGTAGCCCCACCTACTGTAATACCTGAAACTCACTCCCATCAAGAAGATAACGGCAGAACTGCAGAACTGGAACCATCCCCAAATAATGGAAGCTGGTTGGAAAAGAACTTCCATGAATTTGAACCAGTCATTAAAAAGATTCAGATGGGATTTAGGGATAATTACCATGTGGCAAAGGAGAAATCTGATGAGGAGCTGAATCTGAAAAATCAGATGTTTCATCTTGAGACTAATGAGAATGCCACCGAGCTTGAGTGGATGAAAGATGAAAGACTTAATGAAATTGTTTTTAAAGTTAGAGAAAATGAGCTTGCTGGTAGAGAGCCATTTTATCAGATGGATGATGAAGATAAACTTGCCTTCTTCAGTGGCCTTGAGAAGAAAGTTGATCAAGAGAATAAACAACTACAGAATTTGCACGAGTGGCTCCACTCAAACATTGAAAACCTTGATTATGGAGCAGGTATATTTCTTAATGTTCAAACTCCCTCATGGAAATAGGATAAATAAATCCTAATGTCATTGTACCCGGTGAACATTTTGAAAGATACTGCCCGACAATTAAATTTTATTGTTCATCATATTTGTCCCATTCTTATTCTGAGCCGCCTTCAGGACCAAAATCTTGATTTTTTGTGGATTAATTTCATATTCCTTCTTGTTTGAGGGTTGCGGTAGGGTTACGGGTGAGTGTGTGGTCAGGAAAAAACAAAAAATTATTTTGAAATTTAAGGCTATGCTAAGAAAACTACTTTCTTTTGCTGTAGATGGCATCAGTTTATATGATCCACCCGAGAAAATTATACCTCGCTGGAAAGGTCCTCCACTGGAAGGAAGTTCAGAGTTTCTCAATTACTTTGTAGAACAGCGAAAGGTAGTTGCAGAAAGCATAAAAAGTTCAAATCTCATAAAGAAAGAAAGACAAGACTTGCCACAAGTATTGCAAGAATCCCCATCGAGCAGTAAAATTGATTCAACTTCAGCTATATCTATTCAAGATGCAAAGACAAAAACTCCCAGGACCATCATTGAAAGTAGTGATGGTTCCATCAAGGCTGGCAAGAAATCTGGTAAAGAGTACTGGCAGCATACAAAGAAATGGTCCCAAGGGTTCTTGGAATCCTACAATGCAGAGACAGACCCGGAAATAAAATCTGTAATGAAGGATGTAGGAAAGGACTTGGACAAGTGGATTACAGAAAGAGAAATAAAGGAAGCTGCTGATCTGATGGACAACTTACCTGAGAAGGGAAAAAAATTAATCAAAGAGAAACTTGATAAGGTGAAAAGAGAAATGGAACTGTTTGGACCCCAGGCAGTAGTGAGCAAATATCGTGAATATGCAGATGAGAAGGAAGAGGACTACCTATGGTGGCTTGATATACCCCGTGTATTGGTAATTATTACCTTTTTCATTTGTCATATTTCCTACTTAAAAACGAATTTGATCAATTGAGGGGAACACAATTAAGAAGAGCATGGCCTCTTATGTGAGGCTTCTGTACTGCCGGGCATGTAATTGTATGATTAAAATGAATATGATATCCTTCCTTTTACTGAAGACAAGACTATTTCCTAGTTCCTTTATTAATAGTGACACTCCTGCCAAAATATACCAATACTAATGCTGTAAGATAGAACCTGTGCAATCTAGAGGTAATTGGTGCACATATTGTCCAAAGGTTATTGGTGCAATTTATTTTCTTGAGCCAAGGGTCTATCGAAAACAGCCTCTCTACCACCCATGGTAGGGGTAAGGTCTGCTTACACACTACCCTCCCCAGACCCACTTGTGGGACTACACCGGGTCTGTTGTTGTTTTTGTCCAAAGACTTGTATTGGGGAACTTTTGGAGCTATTTTCTGGAGGCTTTTATTAGCTTCCCAATGTTAAGGCCCTCTAAAGTCTAGTCTTATTTTGTATTGCCCAGTTACATCATGATTTCTCAAACAATATCTGTTTCTGTTCTTGTTTGTAGTGTATTGAATTGTACACTGAGGAAGAAGGAGAGATGAAGGCAGGATTCTATTCACTAGAGATGGCCGCTGATCTGGAGTTGGATCCCAAGCAGTATCACGTAATTGCTTTTGAGGATGCTGATGACTGTAAAAACCTTTGCTATATAATACAGGCTCATATGGAAATGCTCGGGAATGGGAATGCCTTTGTTGTGGCACGGCCTCCTAAGGTAAATTTATTTATTTGTGTGTGTAATGGCATTTCTTTGATTAACTGGTCCTATTCTTGTTCTTTACATAACGACAGTGCTTCCAAATCTAAAACTGTTGATAACATCGTTGGTGGAGAAATTCCCAATGCATAAGAAGGAGGGTTTGGGGGATGAGTGGTGGGGGTGCTTATGTCTCTGGGTAATATTTTTTCTGTGAGATCCTAAAACTGTCAGAATGCATATTGATTAGCATGTGTATCACATTTTTGGAACATTTATGGATCTGTGTTTTTTCTTAAAACGATATCTCCTCCAAATTTGGGATGTTATTTAGTTGGACAAAAGAAGGCAGGACTTCCTACTCTCCTGATAAATTTCCTAGAAATCTCTAAATTGTATAAATGTGCTGTCAAGCTCCCCAAATCTTATAAATTGCTAAATCTTCCTGCTGTTCCGAGCTAGGTATGCCATTAAAATGCTACTGTTTATTGTTTAAATCCTTAATATGCTAAATCAGATAGATTCCATTTCCTCTCTATTTCTTTGTTCTTTTACTTCTCACTTTATGTGAAAACTGAAATAGCTGGCTTATTGTGTCTGTTCTCTGCTTTATTTTTGCTTCTCTTAGTCTGTTACGTTAAAGATCATAATACTGCTATCGACTATTTTTCATTGCTGTGGAACTATTTTTTTGTTATTTTGTTATTGCCTATTGTGCAGGATGCTTATCGGGATGCCAAAACAAATGGTTTTAATGTGACAGTTATCAAGAAAGGGCAGTTACAGCTCAATGTGGACCAGTCATTGGAAGAGGTGGAGGAAGCTATCACGGATATTGGGAGTAAGATATACCATGACAAAATCATGCGTGAACGATCTTTGGATGTAACTACAGTAATGAAAGGTGTATTTGGTACTGGAAAACCTACCAAAAAGAGGTACACTGAAATCATACACCTGTTGCCAAATTTTAAAGCAGGCACATCTTTTCTAGTGAACTGTATAAAGCCAGATATTTATATGATGCCTAGTTTCTCCCACTATAAGAACTCTTCTTTTGATTATAACCTTCATGTTTTTCAGGAGGAGGTCACGGAAGAAGCTAAAAAAGCCCACTTCTAAATAGCTGTCTTGTTGGTGTTTACAGGTACTACACTTTATAGGTAGTTTTAGTTCTAGTTTATTGTGAACTGATGACGCTTTTAGAACAGTTCATAAAGTACCTGCCAAACAGTCCAGTTTGAATTTTAATCATCCTCTCTGCTTATACTTGGCTACTTGCTAGTTATCAAGGAGCAAAAATCTTATCAACCTTCACCATAGACATAGTAAAAACACATAAGTAGAAAGATTTGAACATGGCTTGCCCATCTTTTTTGAGATCCACTCAAGTTAGGATTACAGTAGAAACTGAGAAGATCAGAAAGGCCTTTGTTTGATATGCATTGAATTTCTATTTGAATTTATCGGGAAGAAAAATTTGGTTAGAGTTCCTTGACTTAAGTTCTGTACCTCTCAATTTTCTTAACCCTTCACTTTCCTATGTCCTTTCTTGGAAAAACAAATCTTTCTTTTCCTTATAGTAATAGTTGCGGTTGTATCCCTCTAATTTTGAAATCACAGTGATATTTCACAACTGTAAGCTTAATTCAGATAAGCTAGAGACAAATTGTAAGTTGGTTTACCAGTAGATACTTTATTTGAGAGAGTAAAACTCATGAAAACAATGAAAAGTTGTATGTAAGTAAAAACTATATTACCATGTTGGTGTCTTCTTGTACGTCCCACGTGATATTTTCTAATTTTTTGAAAGCTTTAAGAATCATTGATTGAAAAACTGATGCGATGATTTGTTGTTGCTGAAAGAGGAACTTGATGGCAGACTGGCAGAGGCAGCCCCTGTTAATTGATTCTTCATAACTGAGGAAGTGTTATGTACTTTGAGAAATTGAAAGGAGAGCTCTATATCGGTTCTTGGTTTTGTCCTTTTAATTGGACAATTTACTATGTTCCCTGAGGTTGAGCCGGTGCTTAGCCAAATGAGAGATTGTGAGGGCATATTTTCAGCTGCTGGATAACTGCTCAACCTTTTACAGGCTGGCTCTTATGGAAACTGTTGCCTAGTTTCTATTAGGCAACAACAATTTGTCACGGACTTAGACTCATTCTAACACCATGTACTGCATGTGGTGGAGCGTCTCAATTAGCTCAGATGGTATTTTTCTTTGAATTGTGATGGACATTGAAAATCTGAGCCTGAAGCAACGAGTTGAGTCATGTACATTATCATTTGCTTCTTTATCCATTAAAGATGAGTTCCATGATACATATTGAGTTGCTTTAATTATAGAATGAGAAATTAGACTCCAGCTGTGGAAGACTGCATGGAAATTTTTGTATTCATGATAGGTTTAGTCTCTGTGCATCTCTAGACATCTCCCTTATGTGGATAGTTCATGTAATTATATCAAACGTTAAAAGCGATTTCTGTCAAAATTATTAAGAGTACAAAGTTGATTATTCTATATGCTGCCTTTTGATAATTTTCTGGAGCGAGTATCCTTGTTTCTTAGTATTCTCTGTTTCTCAGAAACATGTGATCATTCATTTAGAGAAACATCCTAAAAAAAACAGCGGCACTAAGCTCCCGCCATGCGGAGTTTGGGTATGGGTCAAACTACAAGGGTCTATTGTACACAATCTTAACCGTATCACTGATTTCCAAGAATCATTCAATGATTGCAACTTGAGCACAATAACGATAAACTGACAAATCTGGAAATGGGCAAAAGGTCTTCTGACCATTTTAATGCTCACAAAAGAAAACATCTTGCAATTGGACAAATTCAATAATGTGCATATACACATAATAAGCCAAAGCACAAAAACAATCTTCATCAATTTCTGCACTTTCCATTCACCTATTCTACATACTGCAAATTGCCTTTCTTCATCATCAGCAACGGACGCCTAAAACAGAGCCACTACTGACTTGAATCATCACTCCACATTTCACTCCACTGTCCACCCTATGTGTAAACACTTTCAATACCCTAACTCTCCCCACCAACTTCATCCTCGTTTCCACCTCCATTGTGGGTTCCGCTCCAACCCCATTCACCGTCGTCGGAATCACCCCACCGGAGACATCAGCTTTCAGCTTGGCCGGAAGTGGGTAAGACTGAACATCAAATTTCGCCGACATATGCTGGGTCCTACCACCGTCGATCTTCCCGGCGGGGATAAAAACAAGACCCACTGGCTCCCCTGAGTAACTTAGCTGAAGCGAACTGTCGTAGTGAGTAAACTCATCGCGATTTGGGTTTGTGACGGAGACGTACTGGAAGAAGGTGAAGTTAACAGTGCCATTGGTGACGGAGAAAGTAGGGAATCGAACTGCCTCAACGGCGATTTTGGGAGTTTTGGGCTTGAAGAGGAAGAAGTAAGCGATAACAATGCCTGCAATAAGAAAGATCAAGAACACAGTGGCACAAATACATGAAGCAAAATTTGTTCGCCCTCTACTGGGTTTAGATCTGTAAGGATCATTCATGGCTAAAGATTCAATCTTTTTCACTCCTATTATGAAACCCAGTTGGGAAAATATAGTGCCAAGAATGTTGAATAAGAAAGGGAGAGGTTGTCTCTTAATATAGTGCTGGATTTAGCCTATCATTAGCAATAAAGAAAAAGGAGTAAGACATCAGTGGCTGCTGCTTGGTTAAATTGTCTGGATCTACTACAGTGATTTGTTCTGCCAAAATTAAGAAAAGTGCTACTTACCCCTTTTGCTTTTCTTTCTTGTTAAGGAATAAGCAAAGATTCATGTATACAAAGAAAAAAAAAAGCCTAGATTTACTCCTAAACTATAGATTTGTGTTTAATTTCCTTTTGTTAGACATTGATAACAATAATAGCTAAGTTACAATTTCGTATCATATTTATCCTTTTGTTTTCCAAAGAAGCAAACAAAATCCTCGTAAGCACTTATTTTTGTCTAGTAGGCTGAAATAAATGGCAACACTTAGATGTTTGATGTCATAGTTGCATCACATCTGATGTTTAATGGGTGAAATAATTTTCGAAAAGAACAAATTGATGTCAATTGATCGGATATTAAGTATCTTTTCAATCAAAGATGTTTTGCTTTCTCATTTGTGTTTTCTTGGGGGTGTAAGAGGTTTAACAATTACTTAAAAGAGTTTTGAGTGAGAAATAAGGTTTGCATAATTAGGTTTGAAGTGAACTAGGCATCAAGTTAAGGTCTACTAAAAATAAGATTGATGTCCCACTTCATACCAAAACCCATCGTTTCAATAAGTTGATAGATACGTGATATGTATTTATTATTTGCAGAGACTTTTACTACTTAACAACAGTTAACTAATACGGATTTATACCCCTGGATTAACTAGCAAACATTCACCTATAATATTTTGAATCTCCAGCTCAGAAAAGAACAGTTTACCTAGTTTTTGTACAATAAAAGATATCAGTTGAGATATATGCACATTTCATTCTTGGGATTATTCCTTCTTTGATTAATTTACCACCCCAAAAGGCTTAAACTGGCGCATAACATATCTTCTGAGTCTCAGTTTCCCCCCTAACTTGGTTTTAACTTGAACCAAACAAAAAATGCAGCAAGTTTGATGTCAATAACCTTGACTCCTGCAAACATTTTTATGAGTAAAACAATATCATAAATAATTATTTGAGGAAAAGGATATTGTTCCTTCATGTTAATCCAGGATAAAAAGATGAGCAACAAACTTTACAGTATTATGAGAATTGACACTTGAGATAAAGAACTTGGTCACAACCTAGCTAGGGTCATTTCCAGTTAACTGCGAAAATGAAGTGAAAAACAGGATATTATCTTGAAGTTGATGCATGTAGACATAAGGTGTCAGCATTCTCTCCTATGTACACCTATATACCAATTCCTCAGTGCATTATCAATACGCAATCTCATCAAGGCGGCGATCCATAACACGCGAGACAGTCTCAAGGAATGCATCTTCACTTGAGTCGGGGAGCACGAAGTCCAGTGCTTCTTGAACAATCTCCTCAATCACAGATTCTTTGTTCAAGGTTTCCCGGCACATGATGTTCCCTATGGTAAATGGCGTGAGGCCCCTCTCTACACCTTTTTTCAAAAGCATAGTAGAGATGCAGAGTGTGCGGGCACTTTCCAAAGGCATGTCCCACCCATAAAACTTCAACAAGGCAATGTCTTCTTCCGCATCAAGAGATTTTATGTACTCAATGGTTTCAGAGCTAAATGGCCGACGAGCTTGTGGCCAATACAGCCAATCAAAAGTGACATCTTCAAACTGCAACATCATAAAAAATAAAGCAACTCAAAAACCAAAGGATACCATAATTTTACCAAAGTCCTCACGTATCTTCCTTCTATTGTCAATCTTGAATTAAAGAGAGAGACCGAGAGAGGATATAAATAACTTAAAACAATCTTTAAAAATTCTACAAATTTTACATGAGTTCACTCTTTGCAGTATCAAGGCAGAGAGCAATGAGAAATTTTGTTAATTGCACTTTGAAACTTCTTCTGAAAGAGCACACTATACTACTTCAAATGTGTTTATTACGTCTAGTGCAGTGCAGATAATATCAGGTCTCCCAAAATGCAGGGTAAGAAAGAGGTGGTGGTCAGACCCAGTATTTCACAGCTATCCATTGGCGAATACTGACACTTGACATGAAAATATTTCCTTTTAATCCTTTGATTTGTATTTTATCATCTAAAGGGCTTCTATCTAAGTACCTAAGAAATGCTGGGTAAACAATTCTATCGAGATTACATTGAATCTGAACTGACATTATTACCCTACACCACAAATTTGAGTCTTGACCATAATGAATGAAACTTAACATGCCTCTGAATTTCCATCACAGCGAGTACTTAAAATCATAAAAGACACTTGCTGGAAGGTTATGTCAGATCACAAAACAAAATTGTAAACGATGACTAACATCATGTTGTAACTACTTTAACCAATATAAGTGAAGACATATCAGGAAATGCAGCAACCGACAATTCATATCATACACCAAAAGAAAAGGAAAAATAATGAAGACTTACACTCTCAGGCAAGCAGTAACCATGATCAATTGGAATGAGGACAATCTGCCCATCTTCACCTTTGCTCATTAATATATTCCCAGCATGCCTATCTGCATTTGCCATCCTCATATCAAGCACTGCAATCTTATGGACTTCCCCAACAGGAAAAGCACTAGGTCCCATGTCCTCACAACTTCCGTTGTTGTCCATGAACTTTTGCAAGGACCCAATCTTAGGAGTGATACCGTCTGGGTGATTGAATCCGCTATGTAAACACTTCACAATGACAGTTGGTGGAACACCAGCAAAGCCCAGTGCCTCACCAGAAAATGAACGCCTACCATTTTTTGGATGATCCAAAAGGTAGGCAGCACACTCCCTTAGAGCACCTTCTCCAACTCTCGTTCCTTTCTTCAAGCCCTCGCCATCAACTGACAAAGGCAGCCCTCGCGGGTTATTCACAGCCATAGGCTCCTCGTCAATTGGTTTAAACACCGAAACCTTCTTACTCCCTGTTGCATCAAGAATAAAGTATGCTCCTCCTGTGCCTTCGGTTGATCTAATAGGATAATGCCCTCTATCTAACCCTTCAAGTGTAGAACCAATCAAATCACTAATCACCAAAGGCACTTCAATCTTCGGGTTAACAATAATAGGTTCCAAAATACTAGCCCTATCAGGTGGCTCCCTAGGGACCAAAAGCTTATTGTCTACTTCATTCCCACTCCTGTTCTCTGTTACCTTGTCATTCAGTTGTGGTGCCACAATAGACAACTCAAAATTCTTTTCCACTGGTCTAGCTCTAATTTTTGCAGATTTTCTCACAAACAAATGAATCACAGCATCATTGTTCTTGCAGATATCATGTATAAGCCTCTGATCCTCAAGTCTCTCACCATTGCAAAGCACTTCTTGTTCATCACTATCTACTAAAGCACCCTTCTTTTTAGCAATTTGACGCTTTACGTATCCAACATCCCTGCTCCTATCCACATTAAAGGTGAACTCTTCACCAGAAGCAGTTTTCACATTGATAACCTGAAGATCTGATAACTTAAGGACCAAATGAAGAATATTTCCATCACCAACTCCATAATCCTTAATAAGGGAATTGCTTCGAGCCAATTCCCGCCCCCCACATACCAATTTTTGATTTTTCACAACAAACCCTTTACAGGTCTGAATCTGAAGCTTCACCGAGTCAATTGAATCGTATTCCAGAACCCTCATTGGTACCATTGACCCTGACATAGCCACGTAAATCAAAATAGATTCTTGGCTATGTAAAAAATGTGAAGGAATCACCATAGACTCCCTGCAAATAGGACTAATTGCAATCACTCCAGCTGAAGACATCTTTCACTAATCCAAAAAATCTCAAACCCTAAATTCCAAAAATCAAATCAAGCTGAAGCCCCTAAACAAAAAATAATAAAAGATAATTTACCGAGAATTTCACAAACCCATTTCTATATACAATCTGTGTTCCTCCTCACAGATCGAAACTGTACAGATCAAAAAAAGAAGAAGAAGAAACCAAATTAAAACTTCCCAAAGCCCTAGAGATTCATAATTGGCCCATATATGAATTTTTACTTGAAATGGGCCATCGATAAGCAAAAGCTAGAAGCTTTGGGAAACGGGAAATTAGGGTTTCAGAAATTGGATTTGGGGCAAAAAAGAAAATAACTTAAATAGAGAAAATTCAAAGGCAGTGAGAACAACGAGTGGATCCTAAACGGAGTAAACAAGAACCGGAGACGAAATGGATGATCGGAAGGTTTGTATATAGATAAGATGAAAACAGATCAACGATGAGGTTTTGAACGGTTCCGGCTTCCGGCGAAATTTCCGGCAATTGAACGGTGAGAAAGTTAGGTGAAGAAATTTGGTAGTGTGAAGAAGATATGCGTTGTAGACGTGGGAATTATTATAGTAGAGCGTTGAATGAAGACTTTGACGTGGATTATTAACGGCGTTTACTCGTTTTTGGTTTGCGAAAGAAGTTATGACAAGACGCCGTTAAGTTGGAACAAGTCACATCATTGATGACACAAATTACGAGAAAATGGTAACGTTGTTAAAGTACTGTGTAGTGAAGGTAGGTTCCACGAAATTGGCCCATACAAGACTTTTCAACTATGCCACTTTGACAATCTCATTGGTTTTGATTAGTAATTAGTATAAATAGTTTACCATAATTAGATTATTTATAATGCAATTTAACTAAAAAGATTTATAGAAAAATATTAATTAAAACATGATAATATGGTAAGAATGATTTTGGGAGCTAACATCGAATGAGATGTGTCATGCTCTGAAATTAGGTCTTGAGCCTGATTCACACCTTAAAAGTTAGCTCACATAGAGGAGAATTATCCAAACATTATAAAAAGTCTACACATCTCATTAATTATCAATGTGAGACTTTTGTCAATCTTTAACATGAGTCAATGTAGATGACCACCTTTCAAACTAATTGAATAGATTAAAAAAAATTGAATTGTTTTCTTTTTTATATGTGAAAAAAATGTTTAATAATGTAGTAGGACATTTCAAATTGGGAAGTCTAACAAAACCAATCAAATTTAATAATTAAATATTTCCAATTGAAAATTGTGACTTACAACTAATACATCCACAAACTTCTTTGCTAGATTTATAAGATATTTGTGTATATATATTTATTTTATATTATAATTAAAATAAGCAACGGTCATTGAATCCACAGTGTATACCACGATAATGAATGTTCTTTCTGAATTAGAAGAAGCATTCGTTAAGGAGTTAAAATTTTGTTTTTGAGCCTCCAATTATTTCCATTTAACTGATTAACATGTAAATTGTACCTATAACTTACTGCCCTCACCAAGGTCATATATCGTCATTAATTTTTTTTTATTTTGTATCTCACTTAATTAATACTAATCGTGTGAGGTTTCTTTTATGAAACAAAAATTAGTGGATTGTGGGACTCAAAAGTGTCATCATCACGAGGAGCGCAACAATTTTAGCTGTATGTTTTCACCAAATACAGTAGACTTGTAGGCTCACCCATCTCACCAAAACAAGATGAACACTAAATGGACTTTACTACAAGTTGGAAGGGATGGATGAAGATGGAGGAGAAAATGGAAGTTTGGTAGTAACAGAATGAATGGATTATAAGGTGCATTCTATACACAAATTCATAATTAACATTTAAGGAATTCTATTGTCAAACAAAACAAGAGTTCAAAGGAGCATATTCCATATTGATGCTATATTTTTCTTGACTGTTCAACTCTTGTGTGATGTTGCTGTTTGAACTTTCATAAAGTCATAGGAAGAATTTTGTAGCATAATTTTTCTAACGTATCTTGTTGGTAAGAGATACGTCCAATTTTGTTTTTTGAACTACCTAATACCCCATTATTCTCACTTTAATTAAAGCCACCATAGAAATGGCAGCTGATCAAAAAGTTATTACACCTTTATGACTCATTATACATATACTTTAATTTCAATCCATGGAAACACACAGAAAAGAGATTTAAGTTGAAGACATTGGTAGTGGTACTATGTAGTTAGTTTTATTTGAATTAACAAGTCATTTACCAAGGTTTTATTTTGTGTTTATGATAGTGGTATATGTTGTTCAATCTATATTCCTAAAATACTTAGAATAATAACTTTGAAGAACTTGATAAAAAACAAAAAAATTAAAAAAGTATTTTCAAGACTAGAAAATTAAATCAATAAAGAAAATAGAATAAGAAATTAATTGGATGTAATTACACTGTTTGTCCTGTTCTGTTTGGTTGAACAGATAATTACTTGGTCAGCAGGTAATTGGTATAATTGGTAAGGATAATTACACTCTTCAATTCACAGAGAGAAGCTGTGAATTGCTAGTAATTACCAACTGATTACTTTTTAATTTCTTCTTTTTATTTTTTTGTTTTATTTTTTTATTCTATTATTTTAAGTTCTTTTTTTAAAATTTTTATTATTCTAAAAGTTTATTTTTTATTTTTATATTATTATATTTTATTTTCTTCTCATTCTCAACCTTACTTCACGTGATTTTATGCAATTTTTTCGTATTATCTATTTCTTTATGTCATGCTTATTTTCTCATTAGCATAATTTTATTAGTATTCTAATTTTTAAAGTAAAATCGAATTTATTTTTAAGTAAGTTTATAGACTTACGTTTTTTTAAAATATTAATAAATCATCTTTATGTATGCTATGTTGAAATTTGCGATAAGAGTATTATGTTAAAGTTTTTGTTTTGAATTTACAACTTATGTTATATTTTCAGTTTCATTTGTTTTCTTAATATTGAAAGCACATTGTCATTTTTTAATTAGATTATCTTTTTGTCAAACATTTTAATAATTTATGACATTTTATTTATATATTAATTTTTTTTATCAAACATGCATTTCACGATGTTCGCAGAAACTTCATACTTTTAATTTTTATGAACAATTCAATTGAAATATATTAATTTGAAAAAATATAAATCAATTATCTTTTCATAATATTAGTTAAAAACATATGTTTATTAATTAATATATATCTTAAATATTTAATTTAATATCATTTATAAAGTTTCTTATTTGTCTAGTATAAATTTTAAATAATTAATTTTTATTTTTAAAATTTAATATAATTTTATGATTACAATTGTGCATCCAAAGTCCAAACAGAACATGTGTAATTACACCATGACATTCAAACAAGACATGTGTAATTACAGTGTTATTACACCGAGACAAACAAACATGTCAGTGTTATTACTATGTTGATAATTACTACCCTAGTAATTACACCAATTCCAATTATCAGGTAGCTTTCCAAACAGACCCTTAAAAATAATATACAAAAAAAATTCAAAGAAGAAAATTGAGCCCACTATATGTGCAGTGTGGGCTCAAGGAAATTATGCCCCTCAAGTACCCGAGGTTAAAGGAATATATCCTCCCATGATAGAATAATTTTACTCACTGGTGTATCAATACCTAAAATACTAGATCTAATAGTAGAAGAAGAAGTCCAAAAATTCGTTGTTGGAAAAATGAGAGGAAATCCCTCTATTTATCAACAAATGATAGTGTGAACAAATGTTATTGTGCCTTAACGGAAAGGTCTCAACCCTTCAAAAAGGTCACAACCTTTCATAAAAGTCACAACTCTTCATAAAAAGTCACAACTTTTCATTAAAGTCATAACTTTTCATTAAAGTCATAACTTTTCAAAAAAATCACAACTCTCCATTTTTCTATTCACGCCCTTTGAAAACCCAACAGTATCTAAGTCAGTTTGTGTGCACTTTGATGATTTAATGGAGTATCATTTATGTTCTTCCCGTCTCTTCTTGGGTTATGATTTCTAAAATTCTGTATATTTTTGCTCCTAATTTATAATGAAACTCGAGGAGAACTTTAAGGGCAATATTTTTGGCATGCCTCAAGCCAAATGAGTACTACTTTTCAATATACTTTTTTTTTCTACACCTCCTACCAATACAAGCAACAGATTTACCACATTTTGCAGTTTATCAATCCACAGTTGCTATAAAAGTTACTGCAATTGGCTTTTGTGATAGGGTAAAATGCTTTTATACAATCCGTGTATATTAGTTAAACTCAATATATATACACAATCAAGTTCACTTATAAACTTATTAATCATATTTGTGATGTTTATAAAAAGTTCAGTTTAAGGTAAATCAACAACATTGATCTAATCTTGAAGTCAATTCAAGAAGTGCCCTAAACATCAGGAATATTGACATGATTTGATATTCAACCCAACAAGAAAAATGATTTCACATGCCTGTTCTCTTTCCAGCAACTCCAACCAATCAGTACAATGCAAGAGGTAACAATATGCTGGAAATGTCGAGAATGTACCAATTCAACAAGGAGCTGAAATGACTATTGTTTCCAAATGAAGGATTGAATTAGCCTAGAGATCCTTTATGTTTAATGTCGACATCACTGCAAATCACTCTTCTTCATCATGTACTTCAAAGTCAGATAGATACAGTTACAAAGAGGAATACAGATGAAAGCAAACTGAAAATAAAAGCACGAGTCTTGAAAGGCACAAATCACTCTGATTCTGTGGAGTGTCCCATAATACTCTCTCCACAATGATAAAAGTTTTCTAACCTGAGAAAATCAAGTACTATGCAATAGACAAAATCAAAAGCAGATCACTAAATCCTAAAAGCTTCGAGTATACACTAGAGTACAAATTCAGAAGGCTAAAAAATTAATTGGCTGCAGAACATTTTCTCCTTTTACTTGGGAATGAACCATAGGCCTCAACTGTTCACACAAAAAGCGAGTGCTTCTTGTAATGGACAACTCCTAGTTATTGGCAAGTATACCTGCTGAAGCTGATCAGATTGTAATTAAACAACCCTGGCTACACATCCAAGCAACCATAATACCAAGCAAAGCCCCAGCAAAAACCTGTGATGGGGTGTGGCCAAGAAGTTCCTTTAGCTTTCTTTGACTGATGGGATGCCCTTGGAATAAGTCCTCAACAATCAGATTGAGAACCTGAGATGACAGAATAAGACTTGATTAATCAGAATGCTAAGCATATCCATCAGACAAAAATGCAAGTCTCCACGCAGTGGTCATGAAAAGGATACAATCAACAAAAAGAGATTCCTTTACTGCTCTTTTAAAGGGATGTAGGCAACTTTTTGTGATTGGTGAAACAAGAGAGGGGAATCTACAGAGCATCTGCAACAAAAAGATGAGAACTTATACACACGACTTTAGCACTGGAGAAGTACTTTCTATGTTTTCTGGAAGAACGGGTTCTCCAGTAGATAGAGCATGGGGTGAAAAAATGAGGAACAGAGGATTAGATTCCAGTAGTAGAATGTCACAAAGCATTAGACTCCTCAGAGTTTCACTTGGTGTTAATTTTCTTCTAGAGGGTTCTTTACTCTGAAAAAGACACACAAAAGGATCGTTGACCAATAGTTCATTTGAAGAAATGTAATCTATTATTTTGCAAATTTATGTAACCATATGAAGTCTATCAAGGCACTTTTCAGCTTCTAAAAAGTGCTAAACATAGCATTCTAGGTGAAGCTAACCCTTTCTACAGCTAGCCTCAAAACAATTTATGTTTTACTGATTCCCCTTGTAATAACAGTATGAAGGAAACCACATGGGACATGCGAGTAATTTGTAAGTAAAATCAACTCTAACATCTACTCCTGAGACAAGCAGAAGCAATGAGAAATTATTCATAGTCGTTGGTGGTCCGACTTGAGAGATTTTGTGTAGTTGATAGGTAAACATAAATCATCAACCATATAACCTTGAGACCGGATAGATCACGGGTCATTTAGAGCCAGATAAGATAAATGATGCTGATCCTAACATAAGAGTTAGATGTCAGGACACTATCATTACTCTCTAATAAATCAAAACAAATTGAGCAACGTGAGCAAAAGTGGGTCATTATAAAAGTCCTCAAGTCCAACAGCTGGAATTGACTAGAATTACTACTGATATTGTTAACAGTCAGGGGCTATTGGCCCTAGAAAGTGTTGTAGAAGACATTTGCACCCACAAAGTTGCTTGTTTTGGTTGGGTTGCTGCAACGAAAGCTTGTTGGACCCATGATATGTAGTAAAAAAAAGGGAGGGGGGAGGGTGTTACATTATGGAGTAGATGTTTTCCATGTGAAGGATCAGCAGAATCTACAAATCATCTACTACTGCACTGTAAATGTAGATGGCAGATTTGGACTTTGTTCTTCAATGTTTTCAATATTCATTGGCTCATGCCAGGAGATGTGAAGAGTTTACACCAATGCTGGAAAGATCTGAAGACTGGTAGCAGGCTCAAGAAGATTTGGAGGACAGTTTGTGCATTATGTGACTAGTTGGCTTTGAAGAAACAGAAGATGTTCTTGAGGGGAAAAAACAACATTTAGCTTTCATTAAAAGTAAATGTATAAAAAATTTATATATGCGAACTAAGGAAACTAAGATAGTAGACTCGAACCAATTTGTTGAGATCCTGGATTCCTCAAGGCTAATGTTGAGCACTTGAGCTAGAGCTTTTTACTCTTTCTGTTGTATGTTGGCGGTACCTCCTTGGTACTTGCCTTAATAAAACTACCTTACTTTATCCAAATAAAAAAATAAAATCATGTGGTCAGGGGTTTTCCAGCAAGAGTACAGACTCAAAGTCAGCGGCTTCAGAATTTTTGAGGTATTAATAAGTCATTCTAGGATTCAAGAGAATAAAAATGTGTAGCTTTCTGCTTTGCCATATTTTTCGGCTCTTCATATTTAAGTTCATGCCAAAATATTATATAAATGACTTAAGGGGCACTTATAACATTGTTTCATATTATTAGCTATAAGCAAACAATTATCACCTACCATAGTCATCCAGCAGAGTTATGATTGGGACCTAGTCAATTTACAACCTAAAGAATTCAGGTACCAGAAACCACTTTCATGTTTTCCATTATTAATAGCCTAATAGCCTGAACAAGTATGTAGGGACTTTAACATTTAAGAAAATAAAGTATACCCTGCATCAATTCACCACAACTAATCAATGATGTAGCACTTGTAAGTAAGACCACATTATCTCCAATGTTTCAAGATCTTTCTTGATAAAGATTGCACCTTTACATTCTTGCTATACTGTACCAGCCTACCATATCTCCCAATTAAAGCACACACAAGACCTTAAACTGCCAAGCATAAAGATTAACCACAGCCGCAAAAAGAATACAGAAGACAATATCAGAAGCACTTAATTACCTCTGCTTGCATCCCGGCATGCCGTCTAACTCCAATAGCATCATACATCACAATTAAAGTAAATCCCAAACAAACGGGAAACAATGAATCAGCAACTCCATGACAAATAGCAACTGAGGTAGTCAATGCCGTGCACAAGGCTGAATGGGAAGAAGGCATTCCTCCAGAAGCAAACATAATCCTAAAATCCCACTTTCTCTCCACACAGAAATTCAAAAAGACCTTCATTGACTGTGCCACAAACCAGGCTATAAACCCCGAAACAAACGTTGGGTTAGCAGCTAATGTAGCTACAATTGGACTTATCTTCACTTTAGCTGTTGCAGTTATACTCAAAAGAGCCATCCCAAAGCTTCCATTTTGCAACAAATCCCCTCTAAGCTCCTCAGGAACATTCTCAGTGCCACTACAACCTTTAAAAACAGAGCCCCATTTATTCTTTGCTGCAAAGTTTTTAACTTTCTTGAATATTGGAAGAAGAAGTGAAAAGGGTTTTAAGTACGAGCTCTGATTTTGCCATTCTGAATTGGGGTTTTGGGGATTCAAGTATGAAACAGTAACTGAAGATGTTTTCAATATCTTAGGTCTTTTGAATCTGAAAAACCAAAAAGAAGAAAGATTGAAAGAAGTGATGTTAGAGTTAAGAATGTTAGAAGAACCCAGGGCTGTATAGGGGGAGTTTATTAAGAGAGAATCCATGGAAAAACGCCGGATAATGCGAGTTCAGGTTCAGGCAGCATTGATACAAGTTCAGGCAATTTCCAGAGGATTTTGTGGAAAAGGGAGAGTATCGATTGGTTATTTAGATGCTTCACGGCTTCACTTGTGAGTGCTGGCACGTGAGGTGGTAATTGAAACTTAGCTTACGGCCAAATTTCACAATTTTGGAGATATACTTATTTCTAAGAATATGCTTCCTCTTACGACATTGGTGGTATCCCTATTTTACTAAAATACTATACGCTAGATAAGATTGTTTCTCTCTTAATAATAAAACGTCTCAAATTCAAATCCTGAATAATAATAGACTCACTACTCCATCTATTTATAAAATTCTTTTTATTTTTTTTACTTATTTAATGATTTCTTAGTGAATTATCTAAATAAAAGTAAATTTGAAAAAAAAAAAAAAAAGTCCGTTTGGATTGGCTTAAAAAAAGTAGCTTTTAAGTCAAAAATAAAAGTTAAACTGAAATGACTTTTAAGTCAAAAAAATAAAAAGTAGGGGGACCTACTTTTGATTTCTGACTTATTTTAAGTCATTTTTTATCTTGCCAAACACTTCGTAACTTATTTTAAATTATTTTTTATATTTGCTAAACACTTCCTGAAGTAAAAAACTGACTTAAAAGTAGGTTTGACCAATTTTTAAGTCAATCCAAACGAACTCTTAGTCTATTTTGGTTATATGAAACATTTTTTATTTGGATCAAAGTAAAAAGGTAAAACACCATTTTTTTTTTGTCAGATAAAACACCATTTAATAAGAACATGGAAAATGAATTTCTTAAATAGAGTTTCAAGTCAACAAGAATTATTTTTTTTAAAAGGAGGGGATACTATAATTTTATTTAATAAATAGTGATGAATAATTAAATAAATGATAAGTAATTTTTATAACAAATTAAGTTGCAATTCTGTTTATATTAATTCTTTGTACGCTATCTGTTCCACATATGCAGTAAGGACTCCGATTGAATTGGTCATGTGAATATTTTTTTTTTAAAAAAAAACTCACTTTAACTATTATAATTAATTAATTAATATATATGCACACCTTATTAGATAACTTAATTATAATAAGCTGATATAAAAATCATATAGGTAAGCTTTTATAGTAATAACTTTGTATATATATCATTCAATTACATTATTGTTATTGTTAAACACTCAAATATGTCACGTAGTAGCCAATGAGAATTGAAATGAGAGGAAAATTAACAAATTTTAAGTTTATATACTAGCATAAATAAAAAATACTGCATTTTTTTTAAACAAAAAAAAACACTAAAAGCCTAGTGATTTGCGCTCTATTTTGGAGGAGGACTTTATTTAAATCTTTATACTAAAGATTTTTTCTTTGATTGGTCTCCCTTTGTTTTAAAGGTATTGTCCGGTTTTTAATAGAGAAAAAATCTATTAATTCTTGGAATTTTTATTGGATCCTTATACCCTATCCCTATGTTAAGAGCAATAATGAACTCTGATTCTAATGTTATGTTCTCAACAAAAAATTGTCTAGAGCCTTATCAAATCTAACATTGTTTGTGAACACAAGTTTCAATGGATATGGTCTTTTAATACACTCATTTTTTTTCCAATTAATTTACTACTTTTGTTAGGTTCTTTCAAAATTTCAATTTATAGATATATATATATATTTCTCTGAAAACTTTCGCCCTTTTACTTCTTTAATGACATAAATTAACAATTTTTAGAGCGAAAAAAAAATATTTACTCTATTTAAGCAACTTCTTTTATAAAAACATAAAATATATAACAAGTTTGAATTTATCGTTTCAATCGATTTAAAGATATTTCATAAAAATGGTCATCCATAAATATATTACTATTTCATAACAAAAGTTAAATTATGTTTCTTTTCCGCAAGTAAATTAAATTATGTCTAAGGGAAATAAAAGAGCAACTCAACAAGACGGCACGAAGCCTTAGGCCCCCAAAGTTATAAAAACTGACAAACAAATCTCTCATTAATTAATTTATTTACAACGGAACCCAGCCATTAGCGAACCGACGTCGACGCGGACCCGTCTTTTAAATTCTCCGTGTCCCTGTTACAATTTCAAATTCTTATTTCGACCCGTTGGCCTTTTCTCTCCTTTCTTTGAATCGTCTTCGATCTATCGATCAATTTGTAAATCACCGGCGCCGACGCTGTTCATCTTATTGTTTCACTTGTGAGTCAAGTCGCCGATCTTTGGCTCTGATCAATGGAGAATCTTATACAATTGGTTAACAGATTACAGAGAGCTTGCACTGCCCTTGGCGATCATGGTGAAGAGAGTGCATTGCCTACTCTCTGGGATGCCCTTCCTTCCATCGCTGTCGTTGGTGGCCAGGTCTCTCCGATCTCCTTTTTCATTTTCCGTCATCCTTGTAACGATTTTCTTGTTCGATTTAGATCTGTGTTTTATTATTATATTCTTTTTCTTTTGTCCCTGATCAGGATTTCTGAATCTTTGATTATCTCTTTTATCGATAATATGCAGTTCTTGATGAAATATCAATATCTAGGGTTCCGATCTATTTGTGAATTCTTGACCGAGTCAGTTTGTAGTTTCGTTTGGTTGGTAATTTTGGTTCATGTCGGAATATGTGATGATGCTGTCTCCATAATAATATAGCACCTTAATGTGAAAGGAGCCTATGTACAGATGAGGTTTTTTGAGCTGCTGGTTGTTATTGCCGTAGTGCCATGAATATAGGATACCCTAGCTCATTCTGTTTCAGCTTGTGAACACTCGTGTACATTTATCAGTTCCACTTGACTCAATTTATAATTGTCTGCACTCTGATGGTTTTATAGCAGTGAATTATCGTGTCTTTGGTCTGATTTATGTGGCTTCTGAACACTCTTGGTTAATGATATACTGGTTTAGTCATATTGCTTAACTGTCATATTTTGTATGGCTTATAGAGCTCTGGGAAGTCTTCAGTGCTTGAGAGCATTGTCGGAAAGGATTTTTTGCCTCGTGGATCTGGTAAAGATTGTCTTCATTAGTAGTGCTGTTTACATTAAGTTTTGTGAATACCAGATCACAGGAAATATTATTAACATACTATGTACAGGTATTGTCACCCGCCGACCCCTGGTCCTACAGCTTCACCGGTTAGAACAAGGTAGTAGAGAATATGCAGAATTTGGACACCTTCCAAGGAAGAAGTTTACTGATTTTGGTGAGTCGTTGGGCAATATATACCATTACTCTCTCCGTCCCAGTTTATGACACTCTTTGCTTATCGAGAGTCAATTTGACTAATTTTCAAATCCAAATTTGGATATTAAACTACTATATGAAAAGTACTATGAGACGCAATTCTTCTCATGTCAATATGAAGTTTTTTTTTAATTATTGGTCAGATTTTGCATAGTTTGAATCTCGAAAAGCGAGAAGTGTCACATAAATTGGGAAAGAGGGTGTATCGCTTATGAAGTACTATTTTTCTCCTTCCGCATGTATCACCTGATATACTTAGTGTACTGTTATTGTCATTTCCTTGTAGTTTCACCTTGCTTTATTGTCCTTTTGACTTCTAAATCCTGTGTATCTCTTATTCAGCTGCTGTGAGAAAGGAGATCGCTGACGAGACTGACCGAGAGACAGGCCGTAGCAAACAAATATCTAGCGTACCAATTTATCTCAGTATATATTCTCCCAATGGTATGAAGAGATTCTAGCTTTATGCATCAATTAATGCAACTAAACAAACTTTTCATTTAAGTATTGACTGGACGATTAAAGCATCTTGGGTAAAATGTCATGTCGGAGAGCTGCAGCCTTCTGTTGTTGCCAATTGTGTCCCTCTTTTCTGGCCATCAAATAATTTTGAAATATTCCCTAATAAGCACAATCTGCAATTGTTCTTCCATGTTGTATATTTCTGTTTGTTGATCAGGCTTTTGACAGCTAAATTTTGATTTTGATCATGCCAGTCGTAAACTTGACACTGATAGATCTTCCCGGACTTACAAAAGTAGCAGTTGGTGAGTTGTTTGTTTTGAATCATCAGTCTTAGTTTGTTTTCTGGCTTTTTCCTGTTAGTGGACTATTTTTGAATTAATTTCTCTCCATTTATTTAGAGGGACAATCTGATAGCATTGTTGCGGATATTGAAAACATGGTTCGCGCTTATATTGAGAAGGTTAGTTGTACCTTCTTATATTATAATTTTTCTATGGAAATTTATCTAGTGTGTTTACATTTATGAGAACAATAATGCAGTACTGAGTTCGCTATGGGCCAATATGGTACATTGTGTAAGGAAGTCTGACGTAATGGAATTAGAATATGGTATAAAAGGGTTGTGTGATTTGGATTTCTTCTTCAGATAAGCTGGAGAATCAATGTTGGGGTACACCCTAACCTAGTTCACCTCTGACTTCAAATGAGTTTGGAAAGGATTGAAAATAGTAGGAAAGTGGGATGATTGAAAAGAACGCAGTGGGGGGCGGGGGTTGTACAGAGTAGCCAAGAGCAGGTGGATGTGGATTCTCTGGAGCTTGAGGAGGAAAGGAGTTGAAAGGTAATGGGTTGGCGATTAAATGGGCATTGGGCATTGATGAAAGGTTGAGGTGGAATAGTGCTTTTTGATCCACTCTTTAGTTTCCTCCCTAATTTGAATGGGCATTTTGGGCATTTCAAAATGGAATTAAGGTGGAATGGAAGTAACATTGGAATCACAACTCCAAAATGAAATCAGGAATTAGAAACAAATAATGGAGTAGCAATGTTCACCTATTCCATTATGCTGTTTGGAATTCTTGATTTAATTCAGGAGTTGTATCCGAAGTTACTTACATTCCGGCTAATGGAAATGGGATGAATATTGCCTATTCCATTTTGTTGTTGTTCCATTGCCCCAAGCATGCCGTAAATTATCAGCGGTTTACTTTCTATACTTCAAGATATTGGTAAAGATAAATTGGCTTTTGAAAGGATCTCAGTTACTACTTGACATGTGTAGGGGAGTTTTTCTGATTCTATTGTTTTCTTACATTGCAGCCGAATTGCATTATTCTTGCTGTTTCTCCTGCCAATCAAGATCTTGCAACATCAGATGCTATTAAGATTTCTCGGGAAGTAGATCCAAAAGGTTAGAGTTTGGAAATGTCAGAAATAATATTTTCTTGCAGTAGCATTTTGCATTTAACGAGTTATCACTGACGAAATTAAAGCAGGTGTGGAAATTTGTTATTCCACACATTTGCAGGTGTGTATAGTATTTCAATAGAGAGTTCCTGGAATAGGTTTCCAGCTGTTCATACACTGAAAGCTAGTAGGAGGAGTAACACCTATTAATCTGATGAAAGCTAGTAGGAGTGGCTGGTTGAACCAAAAGCCGCTTAGGGGCTAAGCAACCAATTTCATTTAAAAGTTTTAGGACTACTAATGTTCTTCATGTTGGTATATTAGAATGACTTTCTTGTCTTGAATGCATAACATCCTTTGCAGAAGACTACACAAGCTTCTCAACTTCTGTTTATGTGAGAAATGAGAATTACATTTGAATTTCTTAACATCCTGATAACCCCTCAAGACGGAAACAAATTTAATTTTCTTCCCACTTTTCCACCTGCTTATTAACCCCCACCCCCATGGCTGCTCCTGTTCTAACGCGTTGCCTTACATCTTAAGAGTGGAGTCTTTCAAGCATGTAAATTTAGTGTTTCCTATGATTTAACAAAAATTATCACCTAACCAAATCCAGTGGCTGCTAGTGATCAAATAGGCTGTACAATCACTTTAAGGGGCACTTTTTGTCTAATTATTTCTTGTTTTTATTTGAACGTTAAAACTAATTGTAGTTTCAGATCTACTGAATTTAAATTGTTTTTAAATTTTCTTTCTAGGTTTCATTGTTTTGTGTTGGGAGGCAAATGATGTTTAAACAAAATCTTATCCTACACACTGAAATTTAATGAAGAAAAATTAACTCTCAATTAGTTTTCTGATGCCTTTGAAAAAAAATAAAATGTTTTAGGCTTTCAGGGGCTTCCTGAATTGTTTTTCAAGTATTGAGATTTGCAAAATCATTCCTTTTATAATTGTATATTAATATTTTCTTATGACAGCTTAAATAAAATGTCAATCTTATGCACATATACAATTATGGGTTTCTGACTCATTTATAATATTATTGATTGAACAAATAATGTAGCTGAAGTTTTTTCTTGAGTCATAATCTCTTTACATTTTGCTCTCTTTCTTTTTGTGTTCTGTTGTGTAGTGATGCAATGGTCCACACTAGCTCTTATTAAGTACTGTTTGAGTTAGTTTGCATTATAAATTGTGCTATATCAAGAGTGATTTTGAAAATGAGATGATACATCATACATATTGCCGTTTAACACTGTGAAAGGTTACTTGCCTCAGGGGAAAGGACATTTGGTGTTCTGACTAAGATTGATCTGATGGATAAGGGTACTGATGCTGTTGATGTAAGTTTCCTACTAGGTCACATAATTTTACATTTTATTTTTTTTTGTTGGGTAAAAGTGTCTTTGCTCTAAGCATGACTTGATTCAGTGATGTTGGAGCTCCGTTGTGTAAGTCGTTTGTTTGGTATTGTAATTTTAAAAGAAGCTGTACTCAGGTTACTCTTCTTGAATTTTTGGTCTTGTATAGAGAATCTATGTTTTAACTTGTTAGTGGGTCTCGAAAATGATCGAGGGAACTCATTTATATATGAAGTTATTAACAAGTCATGCTTTTTGTTGATAGTTACATTGGAGAGCTTCGGGGCAAAGTCCTCCGTTGACTGTTGACATATCCCTGGTGTCATCTATGATTCAATTTATTTAGGTCAAGTTTGGACACTCTGCTAATTGAGTTCAGTAGGAGCTAAGGAAATGATGAATTTTGTCTATGTTTATCGAAATCCAAATCCATACTTTTGGTATCTAAAAGGGTGAAATTACAGTAGGTTTCTTTTGTATTTTGAAGGATCTATATGAAAGACAAATGAAGAGTCTGGGTAGCATGCTTTCTCTCAAGTATTTTGAACATGTTGTCTTTAAAAGTAGTTTCTATATAAAGGAAAAGGTTTTTTAAGTGAACATGTCGAAGTAAGAATGGTTAAACAAAATCTAACTATAAACAAAATCTCAATGTGCATTTCAGTGGATATATCAAACTGATCTAAGTCTAGTAAATCTAGCATTCCAAATTTGATAAGGTTAATTTTGAACTCACTTTAAGGTTTTTATTTTCAAAGACAATGGTGACTGGTGAGGTATGGTCCTTGCAACAGCAATCCAAAATAAGATTTCAATTTATTCCAATTTTGTTGATATCTTCCCGGGTTATGGAAAAAGATTTGGTTTATGGCATTGATTTGGCAACAACATATGCCTTTTTGGATGGTCTTTTTATGTGAACTACTAATGTCTTTTTATGTGAACTACTAATGTCTCTATACTTTAAAATTTGACCAAGTGAATAACTCTCTATTAAAAATTCTTTAGCAATGGATGTGAGTTGATTTCAAAGATATAAGATGCAGTGAAAACACCTATCTTTTATCCACCTTTTGATATCTTATCTGCGCATTTCAGAATTTTACTTTTTGGAATAAACAAGTACTGTGGTTAACACCATTTCTTTTTGCTGCTATTTTGTGAGCAAATCTAGTAATCGTGTCTTCACATGTGCTGCAAACGGATTGTCAGTTGGATGATGCTGTACCTAATTCTTTTCTTGAACAAACTTTTAAGCCACTTTGAGGTGGATGTCAGTGGTTGCTATATTAAATCATCTTCTTGGATTTTCAGATGTTGGAAGGAAGATCATATAAACTACAATTTCCATGGATAGGTGTTGTCAACCGTTCTCAAGCGGATATTAATAAAAATGTTGACATGATTGCTGCCAGGCGTAGAGAAAAGGAGTATTTTTCTAGCACCCCTGAGTACAGGCATCTTGCCAGCAGGATGGGGTCAGAACATCTTGGGAAAGTTATGTCAAAAGTATGTTGAATTCTCAAAGAATATTTTTTCTAATTCTGAAATGTTGTGTGAGTGCCTTGGTGTATAAACCTTTTTATTTAGAGCATGTTCCCTCCCTTTTAAATTCATTTCACCCGCCATTTTCTATAACTAATTCCTCAACATACTTTATTTTTTGTTGGTGTCCTAAATGAAGTTTCGAGGTCTTTATTTTTTTTCCTAATTGACTTGGTCACGGTTCTCAGTTTATTCAGAGAACTAACTGTTTTGTTTGATTTTTGTATTGCATATTTAGCACTTAGAGGCCGTTATCAAGTCAAGAATTCCAGGTCTCCAGTCTCTTATCAACAAGACCATCATTGACCTAGAAAGTGAATTGAGCCGTCTTGGGAAGCCCATTGCAACTGATGCTGGAGTAAGTATCATCTTGAATTTTCTGTGAATTGGTTATCCAATTTTGCCAGACAGATTTTAGTCTAGCTGAAATGAGTTGGTTCTCTACTTCTCATGTTAGTTTTGAATGTATGTTTGCTTTCCTGTGGCTACAGAATTGTGATGTCTTTGTTACCTTCCAAAAATATGTGTTTCCTGTCTTTGCTATGTATGTTAACATTTATCAATGCAGGGAAAATTGTACATGGTTATGGAAGTTTGTCGTACTTTTGATGGAATCTTTAAAGAACATCTTGATGGAGTGTAAGTATTCCTTGCTGCGTCTGTTCCTTAAATCTAGACTAATTAGCTATGCTGCTTTGTTGTAATCTTATTTTCGTTGCAGTCGACCAGGTGGAGATAAAATATATAATGTCTTCGATAATCAGCTCCCCGCTGCATTGAAAAGATTGCAATTCGATAAGCAGCTTTCAATGGACAATGTAAGGAAACTTATAACTGAAGCTGATGGATATCAACCCCATCTGATTGCTCCTGAGCAAGGATATCGTCGTCTTATTGAATCTTCCTTGATTTCTATCAAGGGTCCTGCTGAAGCAGCTGTCGATGCGGTACAGAATTAAATTCTCTGACATGCTTCTACAATTGAAACTAATGAGAGAGCTCTGCATGAATGATTTCAATTAGCTTTTTTTTCTTTTGAATATTAAGGATCCCCTTCTAGGTCTCCTTTCACTCTGCCTTTTCGCGATTCTTATTCCAGACTTCTGTTTTTGTTAGTGGGGTATGATACAAGACTGTTGAATATGATCTCTGACTTTGAACTCTTGAGGGGCAATGACTGCTCGATGTTGAGTGTGTGATATTTCATAAATATTTAGGACTAATGTCGCAAATAAAAAGCCTAATTTCCGCGATGTCATTTTGGGTTGCTTTAGTTTTAAATTGATTTGGATTTTTCTTAGTCTTTGAGACATACTTAAAGAAAGATGTAAGTTAAACATGAATGGGTATGTAATTTCATGTGACATTACAACATTAATAGAATGTCTACTCTGGTGGAACTTATTTCTTCTGGGAGGTTTTATTTACGTTTTTGTTGCATCATTCTAAAAGTTGAACTATGTCATAATCAAACAGGATTTAAGTATCACTTACATTAATATGTTTCAAACTGAGATATTTTGGCAACTGCATGTTGTCAAGTGCTTAATGGTAGAAGAAAATTACTCGTGTAGAGTATTTTGTGCTTGACCTTGTTTAATTATAGTAATCTGAAATAAACTAGTGTTTTTTGTTCAGCATAATGGTCTAATGGGTACATTTTTATGTAGTTGAGCAAAAATAGTTCCTTAACTACTTCATCTGCAATGCTTTCAGGTTCATGCTATACTGAAGGATCTGGTTCACAAGTCAATTAGTGAGACTGCAGTATGTTCACTTGCCATTTTGAATTACTTTTCTGAGTTTGAGATATTTGAAAGACCTAATAAACACATGCTATAAATCTCAGCCATTCTCATTTAGCATTCTAAAAATTCATTCTGGTGAGTTAAACAAATAATCCCCAGTAACGCATTGTGCTCAGTAATTGCAACACGAAGAAGTCAAAGAATTCTCCCGTTACCATGATTATTTTTTGTTAAACAGTTGAAGGGGCTATAAATGAATGTGTATACTGGGTCTTTTGTTATTGACAGGAGCTAAAGCAATATCCTTCTCTTAGAGTTGAGGTCAACGGTGCAGCTGTTGAATCATTAGAAAGGATGAGGGATGAGAGCAAAAAAGCAACTCTACAGCTTGTTGAAATGGAGTGTAGTTACCTGACTGTAGATTTCTTCCGGAAACTTCCTCAAGATATTGAGAAGGGAGGGAATCCAACACATTCAATTTTTGACCGATACAATGATTCCTATCTTCGAAGGATAGGTGAGTTTTGAATTAACTTTTGTCCTTGAAATTCAATGATCTTTCTATTAGTCTTCTGAATTTTGCTGTTGTGTTACACGTGTTGTTGCTGTAAATTATTTTGATTGTGTCGTCTGATGGTGGGCTCTTTTCAACAGGATCAAATGTGTTGTCTTATGTCAATATGGTTTGTGCAAGTTTGAGGAATTCCATTCCTAAGTCTGTTGTTTATTGTCAAGTTCGGGAGGCCAAACGCAGTTTGCTTGATCATTTCTTCACAGACCTGGGCAAGAAGGAGGTGAGAATTTTGCACCTCACTGTTCAACTAACCTTAAAACTCTTATTTTATTTTTTAAATTTGGAATGGAAAGGGGTGTGGTGGGGGGTGGGATAGCTGTGTGAGAAGAGAGTAACAATGCTGATGACTTTGATGTATAATAATCAGTGCTCCACTTTCCATTTTTTTGTTTGTTTGTAGGGGAGACAGCTGGGTACTTTGTTGGATGAGGATCCAGCTATAATGCAACGTCGTCTTTCTCTTGCAAAGAGACTTGAGTTGTACAGAGCTGCTCAATCTGAGATTGATTCAGTCGCTTGGTCTAAGTAGACCCCAAACCTTTGTTTTTCTTCAGTTTTGTTCATCACCATTGAAATGTAGGGATAGGTGGCCTGTCATTCTTTGCTTCGACATATTATTCTTTCCATAAAAAGTAGATATATAGTTATAGGAATGCTAGCAGTTTCTGTGCCTCGTCTTTTTTTTTTTTTTGCAGTACTTGTTAAATCCAAATGTGTACTCGATTTTGACATTTGATATCTCTAGCTTGTCTGAGCCAGACAATATATTGGATGTGCTGTCCTTGGTTTTTTCCACTCACTGAAATCCACTTTAATTTGGAAGTCCCTTGTTTGGTATGATTGGCTAAGGAATGGCTGGGCTTTGCTTATTGTTTAAAATGAATTTTAATAATCAATTATTGGATAGTGATTTCTACTTGTGCTCTTTTATTAGGAAACATGTGAATATTTAGTTTGAGAAATTCATCGTTAAATGGGAATTTTATGAATGGTTGGATTTAATGATGGATGGATGGATTGATAAGGTGATTTTTCCAATGTTCTTCCATAGTCTTTTTTTAGCTGGATTTGAACACATTACATAATTTGGATCGACTTATTCAAATCAAGGAGAACAAAAAAGTACAAAATCTTTTAAATTGTTACAAGATAAAAACGACTCCAAGTGAAGATTGCAGTTGGAAGTTAGATCTCATTCTTGAAATTCCTCGTTCACATCATGTATATTTTTGTTCATATTTATAATATCATATTATAATGCATTTCAAATTGATTCATGAGAAATTTTATTTGTAATTTCTCATTAATCAATTTGAACTACATTATATGAGCCTAAATTTAAAATATAAACAGATCAAAATGAGTCCAATTAATAAATAAATTAGTCGGATGATCATGAACATTTTCATGCATTGAGACTCAAGGGAATGCTTCTACTTTCGATCCATTGATGTCTTAGCTTTGCCAACATAATCAAGATTAAGGGAACTAATTAAGACAAACCCAAAGCAATTTCCACGATCATTCTTCTCAATCATTTCAGCTTTAGCAAGCTGCCATATATATATGGTCATTCATGTGAACTAATTATAAATCATTTTTAAAGCAATTTGTACCCCTAAAACTGGTCTCAATTGACTACAACACTCGCTCTGCATCTCATTCCTTCCTCTTGCCTGAAGAAACAAATAATAGAAATTACCTTTTGATTAGCATGGTTTAAAGATTACAGTAGATTATTAAGGAGATTAAATTAACCATATCTTCGATGGATAATATAACAAGACAAAGCTGCTTGTGTTATCCCCTCCATGTGTAATATATATCGTAGGTGCGAGCTAAAACCAAAAATATAATTAAGTGATGATATCTGGATGTATAGAAAGCTTGCTTCAATTTCTCTCTATATATAAGCCACAATAGAGAGGAGTTTGGTCCTCTGCATGTTAAATACTTTTGAGTTTAGAATTTTAACACGTTAAACCAACTCTGCAGATAATTAACCAAGGGCTCACAGAATTCTTTATTTATTTATTTTTTTTGGAAAAAAAAACATTTCTGACTCGCAATGTATATTTTTATCATATTGACATGAGAAAAAGTAATATCATTTGATATATTTTTTTATGACAAAGAGAGTAAGTGAAACGACAATGGACATTAAATCTAAGATGTGAGATCATATATAGTCTTTGTTTTCTTCCAAAATTACTTTGAACAATTTATTTTATTTTTCGTATTTACTAAAAATAAATAGTCTAAAATATATATTTTTTTTCATGTTTATTTGTTCACTATATTAAAAATACATCTTTTCTTTTATTTGGCATTTTTAACAATTAAGATATATTTTTTCATGCATACTCTTAGCATTAATTACTTATTTTCAAAATTACTTTCAAAATTCAAGATTAAATATTAATTAATATGGATATATTGTGTTGTAAAATATTTATATTAATCATCATTTCTTATGAAATGTTTAAAATTCAAAATGAACAAGCTAAGGAGAATATAATTGTTATTTTAGAAAAATCAAGATACAATAAATATAGAGAGAGAATAATATGATTTTAAAAATAATATTAAATTGATATTTAGGAATAAATTGAAATAATTGAATCAAATTGTTCCTTTTAATTAATATCTTTGAAGAGGCATGAAAAAAAGAACTTTACGAATACAATGAATCGGATAAAAATCTTTATTATGCTTACCTAGGGTCTAGGGAATAGCAAACGAACTTTTCAACTAAAATGTAATATCTAGAATAATGTAAGTTAGCTCCTAAATATTTGACTGGTTGCTTTCGAACTACATTAATGTGAAGATACTTCTTTAGTTTATATTTACTTGTTTATTATTTTAATAAAAAAATTATATTTATTTGTTCACTAAAACCTATCAAGCTAAAGATTTTTTTAAAATATTATCCTTAATATTAATTATTTATATTTGAAATAATTTTTCAAGTACATTAAAACTATACACCAACCAATAGAAGTATTTAGTAAAATATATGTTTCAATTATTATTAAAAAAAATATAAAATCTATTATGGGCAGTAAAAATAAGAGGGAGTTTTAACCAAAATAAATAAATAAGAGGAAGTTTTAACCAAATAATAATAATAATAAAATAAGAGGAAGTACTAACTACAAATCTTTAATTAATTGTGCAAGTCTGTAATGAAAAGGCATCCAAGTTGCTTATATCCTGTCAATTAATTAATGACAATAGTTTAATTATCGTTAAATATGTATTTTTAGCGGTAATTAGTATTTTTTTTGTATATGTCCCTAAAGTTTTTAGCGACATTGGATTTAATGACACTTAACTAATATCGATAAAGACTTTATTAGTCTTTATTTATGTGTCTATTTATTACCGATAAAAATTGTTTTTGTTATAGTGTTTGTTGTGTACCAGACATTTGATTTATTTAATTATGAGAGGTTCGTTACGATTTCCAAAAGATTTCAAATAAAACGGTTTGCTAGCTAGAGATAAAATTGAAGGGAATTTTATTTTATTAATAGAAAGAGAAAACTCGAATGATTAAATTTTTGGTAAGAAAAAAAATCGTCTAGATATATCATTAAGTAGTATGTTACGTCAAGTTTTTGTTAAATTTAAAGTACTTAATATTTTCTTAACAAAATATTTATTTTGGAGAATTAAAGTACTTAATTACCCGAATATTTTAGGGGGGGAAAGTCATGTTTTAAGTCTTCTATGGAAGGATAACAACAAAATGAACTTATGAAGACCTGTTTATCTCCAACATCTCCTCTTAGTATATCTTGTAAGCAATAGTAATATGAAATTTTCCTTTATGCACCACCTGCTCATTTAAAATGATATTACTTTGCCAAAATTTCCTCATATGTATAATTGAATGTTTTTTATTTTTGAATCATCCCTAAGGCTTTTTTTTTTTACCGTAACCTTCAGGTTGGAAGTGAGGGGTGCTTACCATTCGAACAACTTGTAATCTTCTTACATGAGATTTTTATTTTACACATAAGAATTTTTATTTTTAAATCTGAAAAACATATTATTTTTTTTTATTTTTTTTTTACTAATAAGTAGCGAAGAGATTTTAGTTCTGGGTAAAAATAAAAGGGGTAGAGGAATGACAATTACGAATTACTACTTCCGTCCATTTTTAATTGTCATAGTTTCCTTTTTTAGAGTCAAACGATAATAGCTTTGATTAACATTTTACGATGTATTTTTTCATCATATTGATATGCAAAAAATGGAATTTATAGTTGTACTTTTCGTATATTTTTGAATATCTCAATTTTTTGTTTAAAATATCGAATTAATATAATCTAATTTAACTTTGAAAATTAGTCAAATTGATTTTCGAAAATCACAACCTGACAATTAAAAGTGGACATAGAGGGAGTATTACTAATTTCAAGTTCTTGCTTCCTATTTTTCAGTCTTCCTTTTAATTTGTTGGTTTCACGCTCCATAAGCACTAATAAGTTTTTCTCCATTATTTTGACAACTTACAAAATATTGAGTTTTTTAGATATTGGAACTTTTGATTATCTCGATTGAAATTAATGTCTTTTTTTTGTGAAATTGCTTAACGTTGGAAATTGCTTTATTTATTTTTTTTGGTTGAATATTTTTATATGTATAAGGTATTAATATGATATAATTGATATGTCTTTTGATAAGTCGAAGTCATAATTTTTTAATATTATAAGTATATGTAAGTCAAAATTGAATAAATTATGATTACCAATTTATTATAGTGCAAAATACCTTAACCAAACTTTAAAATAATGAACCATATCAAATTAATTTGATATGATGATCACATACTATTTTTAAAAATCAAAAGGCAATACCAACGTACCACATCCACCTCTAGTATATATGACTCAAATGTTGCAATTGTTTTTATTGAGCGAAGACTCAAAAACACTTAAATTATCAGGTGTATGAGTTTTCTACCTAAACTATCATAAAATGGTTAATGTAACATACACTTCAACTAATAAATATATGAGTAAATGTTAAAATAAACACATTAGGTTAAATGTTAAAATAGGTTAATAATTTGGGTATACGTATGGACATTTTCCAGAGTCAAAAGGTGATTTCGACGACTTTCACCTTCTTATTCTGTTAATCTCTCTTTCATTAGTCTTTTTTGTGTGTAGAATTTGTTGCATAAAGCCTTGTCGGATGATTGTCTGATGTTGGTGTTCTTATTATTGCAAGTTGTTCACATTTATAAAAGATATGTTCACCCTCAATGAGGAAAAAGAAGAAGGCGAAAAAGAAAATGTGATTAGCCTTTACAAAAGAAGAAAGTAAAGAAAAGCGATCGAGTGTAATAACAGCTTGGTCTGTGGTGCGTTTCGATAAACATTTGTTGCTTTATAGTTTAGATAAGAGTCTCACATATCCTAATAATTCAAGTTGAAAATTGAAAAATAGAAATATTTTACATCCACTCTTATTAGGAAGTGTATTATAGTTGACAATATATAACATGGATAATAATTCTAGTGCATGAAAATGTTACTACAATAATATTACATAATCAAATACTATCTATATTTAGAGCATAACAGAGGGTACGTTTATCAAGTTGTGTTGAGCTTTCAACTTCAACTGCGTAATGAGCTAGCTAGTCAGTCAAGTTTGGTTGCCAATTTTGTGTGATGAGCAGCGGCCTCTTTAATAAGCATGAATGACTGGATGAAATCATCACCTAGCTGCTTCAGATCTGGAATTATTCCTTCATCAACTGCTATAGTAAATGTCAATTTGTTGGCATAGCTACACACGTGAACCATTATCCCCTACAAATACAATATTATATATATATGAGTGATTTTGAGTACTTTTCTTTCAAGTATAACTTTAAAATTATAGATAACTAATGTAATTGAAACATATATATATATATATATAGTTGTTTGATTGATGGAATTAAGAAACATACAGTGGGATAGCCAGAGCATGTTGGGGCAACGAATTCCAATGGATGGCCTGCGCAAGAAATTTCTTCACGCGGACCAACTACGTTTGAAAGGGCTACTGTTGTTTGGGAGGTAACTCTTTGAGTAAGTTTTGCCGCACTCTACAATCCCAAAAATACATTCATAAATTCCAACGACAAAACAAATCAATTAAAGAGAAGAATTTGATTACGTACCTTAAAGCCAAACAAGTTGAGGAAAAGTTGTGAAGCATAAAAGGTGCATTGAGACTCAAGGGAATGCTTCTTTCGATCCATTGATGTTTTAGCTTTGTAAACATAATCAAGAGGATTTTCTGATTGGCCTATACTTAACGGAATTAAGACAAAACCAAAGCAATTTCCTTGTATCACTGCAACATTCTTCTCAATCATTTCAGCTATAGCCTGCCATATGACGTGGTCAACATGAACTAATTCATTTTTATTATTGTGGATATGAAGAATTAATTAAGAAACACTCACTTGGACCCCTAAAGCTGGTCTCAAATTCACTATAACATTGGCTCTGCATCTCATTCCTTCTAGACAAAACTTTCCCTTGCCTGGAGAAACAAACAAATTTTAGAAACAAAAAATTTGTTTATAAATAAATAGCAAAAATAATATGTTTGGTGAACTCCTGCAAATTCATTTAAATTACCGTATCTTCGATGGATATAACGAGACAATGCTGCTTGTGTTATCCCCAGTACAACGTCATTAACCTTCTAAAATTAGTAAGAAGAAAAAAACAAGGAAACAGAGCTTAGATCACAGACAATTAATTAAAACTTCAAATAATCCATGAAAAGTTTATAATGTTCATATATATGCTTACAGCGTTTGTAACATCCTTTATAAATTTAATGTCGTCCAAGCTAACGGTCCGATATATATATCTCTGACGAGCAGACGCGTTGAATCCTTGTGTAGTTGTAAAAGGTGTTTGAGAGTCCTTCAAGAAGAGCGCAGTTGCTATAAATAACAAAACATCAGCAATTGTATTGAACAAAAGTTGGATGAAGAACCACAACTTTACGAGGTAGTACTGCCACAAATTCTTTTTCCTATTTTTGGTTGGTTTGCTCTTAGAGGAAGAAAAAACAGGGAGTTTGGGGAGACAAGTGGGATCGGAAGTTGTCCGAAAACAAGAGAGTAAGAGGGACATGAGGGCAACTCCATCTCCAATAGAATGATGAATACGGAAAACAGAAGTTGCTTCAGCATGAGATGTTTTCACGTTAAGAATATGAAAATCCCATAGAGGTTTCGACATGTCAACATTTGTTGTACTTAGGTTTGATATATAATCTTCAACCAATTCGTCCTTGTCCATATTATTATCAGCAAGCTGGGGAACTATGACATGATCATCTATGTTCACTGTCGTTGGAATCCATCTCATATTTCCGCCACCATCACTCTCATCCATAACCTGTTTTGAAATAGTTTGAATCATTAGCTACATGTTTTAAGTACAAACTCCAAACTTCTTCACATAAATTAAGACTGAAGGAATTATCAATTTTCCCAAGAGTAATTTTTTAGTGAAACCATCCAGAAGGTTAACGTTAGAGCAGAGGGTACTTACCTTCCCGTTCGTTTACATCAAGCTAATAAATACATGACATGTGTTTAATTTGCATATAGACTTTTATATTTAATCGTATATAATCTTTCATAATATTCATCCTCACCTTAATATTAAATCATAAATTTGCATGGTTTGTTATAAAATTCAAAAATTATTACAAAACATTGTGAACAATTAAATAATAACACTAGCTATTAGTTGAGAGTGAAAATCGTATATATCTTTATTATTAGCTTACCTGTAAACTTGAAAAGCGTGGGTGTTTAAGCATTTTGCTTTGTAGTTCAGTTTTGATGGAATCAACGTTAATTGGTACTTTCCAGCCCATAATGGCTAAGACGTAAACATTGTAGTTAGGCTCATGAAACATTCGAGAAGATGGACTTAGTAACATTGCTTCTCCTTCATCTAAATTCTTTGATATTATTCCAAGAGGTTTCAGACTCATATTTTTTTTCTCCATTATTATATAAGAGATATCCTAGTTAGCTGCTATAATAAAAATTTAGTGATGGTATCTGAATATGTTGATGATTAAAGGCTAGCTCCAATTGTTTATATTTATAGAAAGGAAAGGCTTATTGGGTGCCCACAAAGATTTTTCTCTTTGAGTAGATAGATTTGTTCCTTAAATGGACGCTCTCATTAAAAGCACAACTGTCTTGATAATTTAGTTTTAGATGTATATAATTTCGATTCGTTCACTTTTTGAAAATAACAAATCAAAATAATTGTGTCCCATATATTTCTCAATCTGTAAATCAACGCCATTCTCAATTTGAATTTTTTTTCTTAGTTTTTTTTAGATTTTTTTTATGATAAAGGGTGTATTTGGTACGAAGGTACTGAAAAGTGTTTTTTTATTTTCTCGTATTTGATTAGTCAAAAAAATAGAATTTTTTTTTAGGAAAATAAACTTCTTGAAAATAAAAAAAAATGATTTTTCTAATAAAAGTAGAGAAAATAAGTCGCATTGTATTCCCACACCCCACCCCAGCCTATGGTAGAGATAGATTTTCGACACCTCACATCACAAGTATATATGGCTCCGCCAATACCCCCAACCCCACTCCACCACAGAAACCACCCACCCAATCCACTAAAATAGAGTGAGTTTTAAATATACAATAAAGTACTAGTTAATTTACAAAAGTTTTATTTACATTAAAAAAGGATATAAGTGTCAAAAATACATCTAAACTATACCATTTTTTTAGTTTCATACCTAAACTATTGAGAGTGTGAGTTTCATACAATAATTTAGGTATAAACCCAAAAAATTGAATAGTTTTTGTGTGTTTTTGACACTTATTTCTTAAAAAGATAGTCAAAAGTTATAAAAAGTATACACTGGCTATTTAAATATGAAATCCTTTTGATATTTCGAGTCTTCTGATATATAATCTGCTTGAAATGATTCACGTTTAAAAATAAAAAATTATAATTTTTTTAATAAAATATATATATAAAAAACTATATAAATATAATGTCAAATTAATTTAATTCAATATAATTTTCTTTAGTTAAAACCAAATCACCCATACGTTATGATCAAATATTCCTTCCCAACACCAAACCACACTAATCAATTTGTTTTCTTGAATTTATCAACTTGATGCAATTTGACGATTTTTTAGGTACACCCCTTATTTTGGGGAAGTTAATGACTTTGATGGAACCTTGTACATATGGTACAGAAGGTAGAGAAAAGTCAAATCTGAAAAAATAGTGGTAGGTGTCAATTGAGCTATTCATTATAAATTTAATAATTGTTGAAAACATTTTTCATGTGTCATGTAAAGAAATATTCCTAGTTAAACCTAGTTTAAATCCTCTGAATTCTGGAGCACAGATGAAATTAAATAATGAAAAGCTAACAAATATTAATCGACGTAGGTTGATATTGTTGCACTTACTCTCTTAACCTTTCAAAGTACAACACTCAATTTTGATGGAAAATATTAAAGTAATGAGTATTCGGGTTATTTGGACTAGATATAAAAATTTTAGTTTGGATTTTAATCTTTGAATTGAAGAAATTGCAATTCAAATAAGTTCGGATTTAATTGGATTTTAAGTTTGCTTTTAGATTAATCGATGTGGATATATCGAATTTTTTATTTTTACTTTAGAATCTTTAAGGTAGGTCATATCAATTAACAAGTTCAATTCACCTAATAGTTTGCTTCTTCATCAAATGTACAGTTTTCTACCATTAACAATGATTAAAATCGATCATCTTAACGTCTATGACGTATAATTTTGTATTGGACTTAAAACTATAATGAATAGATAGGCCGAAGGATAATAATCTATTGGACCTCACAAAATTGAACTTATTAGTATTGGACACATTTAATATGAATAAGACTGAATATTATGTATAAAAATTTCCAAAAATTATAAAATGAAATCTAAAGTCCAAGCCATAATCCAAAAATTTAAACCAAATAATTTAGAAGTTCGAATTTCATTTTCAATTTTGGATTGACCCAAACTATGTCCACCCCTGCTACTACGTGGAAACGTCCGAATGAGATTAATACAAAATTGTTTATTTTAATAAATACTATCAAAGTTTTGTTGGTTATATAAATGCACGGCAATACTTGAAGTTCTTTCTTCAAAAAAGTTTATTTGCACATATAAGAATATTGTCATATTATCATACTCTATAATATAATCAATTATGATACTTATTCAGTCATGCAAATATAGAGAGAATGGTCAAATGCCTCTTATGTGTTATCAGATTTCCAACTACATACTTAAATTTTACAGGGGTTCTATCACCCCCTAAACTGTTTAAATTGAAATTATTGTATTCCTAAAAAGCCACAATCATATTTATGTTGATGGGTGAAATTCACACGTTTGACACGTGAAAATTCCATTAAAAAAAAGTTTTTCTTTAATTTTTTCAATTTTGAACATTTAGATCACCCCGTGAAGTTTAAGTATATAGTTGGAAAAAAATCCAATAACATAAAAGACAACACTAATTCTATAGTTCAATAAAATATATATATATATATCTCTATATATATATAAAAGACAAAAAAAATGTATTTCACCAATGTTCTTTTTTAGATACAAACTTTTAATAGAATGGTGAATTAATGTTAAATAATTTTGTTGATAATTGAGTGGAATAGTTTACTAAGGTCTTGTTGATTTCAACATCAGGAAAGTTATTATGCAATATTGGATTTTATCATCTTCAAAATTTCAAGTAATGTCTCTTATTAGAGAGAGTAAATACTTGTTGCACTTTTCTTTTTCTTTTTTTTCTTTTATAAAGATTTTGTCCTCCTAAATTTTAACAAAACAATAAATAATGTGTATTATAAGATAAGTGTATTATTTTTTTTATTAATTATAATTTTTTTCACACGATTTTTCTTAGTAAGATTTTAATGAGGCATGTTACCAATTCTCTATGGACATCAAAAAAAAGTATTATGAAATAATAAAAGCATGGTAGATATTCATAACTTAGAAGAAGTTACTCCAAAACTGAACTTTCACCATTATAGTTAACTCTTACACCCGTAACTTATCTTCCATGATCTCAAATGGTTGATTCCATATTCGTGACACAATTTGATGTCTTTCAATGTATCACTTTAAATAAATGTATTGAGATGTATATTTTACGATATTTTAATTCAATTGAAGAAAAAAAACTCTCATTCTCTTTATTGTTATTTTTGCTTTCATCTAATGATTTATTACACTAATTTTTTTAGATGAATTTTACAACAAACTCCAAAAAATATTTTCTGACAGTTACTTATAGGTCAAGTTAAGCCACAATATATTTAGTCAAAATAAACCTAATTTTATTATATGGGCTTATTGGTCGGAACAAAATATATCAAACTGATAAATGGATAGAATTATCTCATTCACAGTTAAATGAATTGAACCACTTACATATTTTTATGGGAAGACAAGACAGTAATCGTACATTGGTGACTGGTGTGAGGCTTAAAGAGGAATCTTAAATGAAGAAATAATCAATGCAATGACAAGATTAACGTTTCATCCACTTTTAATTGTTATAATTTTATTTTTTTTAGAGTCAAATGATACTATATATCTCCGTTCACTTTTAATTGTCATACTATTATAAAAACTTTGACTAACATTTTATTATATGCAAAAAAATTGCAATTTATAGTACTTTTCATATAACTTTTGAATATCTAATTTTTTTGTTTAAAATATCGAATTAATGTAATCTAATTAACTTTGAAAATTAGTCAAATTGATTTTTAAAAAACGTAACATGACAAATAAAAGTGGACGGAGAGAGTAATAACTTTGACTAACATTTTACGATATATTTTTTCATCATATTGATATACAAAAAATTGAAATTATTTTTTAAAATATTGAATCAATATAATATAATTTAACTTTGAAAATTAATCAAATTAATTTTTGAAAAATATAACATGATAATTAAAAATGAACAGAGCAAAAAGTTGGTAGTTGGCGCAATTTAATCTATGTGGTAAGGTTCACATCAACCCCCTTCCACCTCAAGGCGGCTTTTAAAAAGATAAAATAGAAAAATATAAAAAAACGTGCACTAACAAGTGTACAAAAATCTTATCAAATTAAGTGAAACGATATTTAGCATTAATTATGCAGATTATGTATATTGTGGATCCGTATATTGTATACCACATAAACCAGAAGTTAGCTAGGGAGTCACTATTTAATTGAACAAACTACCCAACAAAATATGTCACGTCTCTAATTTATGTAGATTAGCTCCTAAATTTTGAATGGTTTTCTTTCAAATAAACATTAAAGTGATGCTAAAAGTTATTACACACACCTTTAATTTGTGCAAGTTTGTGATGAGAGGCATCCAATTTGCTTACATCCTCTGCTAGAGATAAAATTGAGTTAATATCTCAAAAGGTCACTCAACTTTCAGAATTTATCTAGTAAAATTATTGAACTTTCTTTTGTATCATTAAAATCACTAAACTTAGATATTTGTATCATTAAAATCACTAAACTTAGACATTTCTATCAATAAAATCACTCAATCAAATTTATCACTAAAAAAAGTATTGGCATAGCAAAATAAATTATTATTTTTATATCATGTAAATATGAATCCCACAAATAAATAAAATTAAAGAAATCTCATTAAAAACTTTTCACTTCCTCTCACAATTATTTTTTTAAAACAAAAACAACTAAAATGTATGTCCGAAAATGATTTCAAATTTCAAAACTTATTTATCAGCAATTTTGAAAATTAATTTATTCAAGCTCAAACAAATCTAATGTTAGCAAACAGTGGAATTACGAAGGAAAAGTAGATCTTTACCCATTATATATAGCAAGAAACTCTAAATAAATTACACGTCAAAGAACTTAATTAGTAATAATACTTACCTGTTCTATTTTGACATTTGTTTATTGTTTTTCTTCCTGTTTTGGATTTAATTTGTTGTTTTGCTGAAGTACTTGTACTCATTTTTTTATTAAGGAGACAAAGTAAATATTATGGTATTACAGTAATACCAAAATATGTTTCACTAAGAATTTTTTTTCATTTAATTATTTATTAAATCAAGACATAAACTATACAACAATATCATAAAAAAAAAAAATTGTTTCCGTGATTAAGTCTGTCCGAATTTTTTTAATAAGCTTTCTTTAATTTTATTTATTTGTGGGTCCGTGTTTACCTTATATAAAAATATACAAGTAATTTATTTTGCTATGTCAATATTTTATTTAATAATAAATTTGATTGAGTGATTTTATTGATAGAAATGTCTAAGTTTAGTGATTTTATTGATACAAAACAAAGTTCAATGACTTTGCTAGATAAATTCTCAAAGTTGAGTGACCTTTTGAGATATTAACTCGATAAAATTAAGTGAGATAATTGGAATAATAATTAGCATCATGTGATCAAACTTTTCCTGAAAAAAAATAAATCATCTAAATTTATTCTAAAGCCTGTTCGAAGTGGCTAATAATATTTTCCATCTTATTAGAGAATTCAAAATTTATTTAGGTACATAAATACATACTTCCTTCATCTCAATTTATGTGATATAGTTTGACTTGGTAGGAAGTTTAAATAGAGAAAAACTTTTGAAACATGTTTTCTAAACTAAGTCATAGATATTTGTGTGACTATAAATTATTTCGTTAAAGATAGAAATAGACATATTACATTAAATTATTACTTAATATAAAAATATGTCATTATTTTAGAGACTAACGGAAAAAAAATAAGTTATATAAATTTGAATTTTATTTTTATTTTTTGTATAAAATGTAATTATTTGTCAGAAATCTAAGATTCAAGTGAGCCTTTTGCACCCCTAGATCTGCCCTTGCATGTTCGGCCAATTCTTTTATGAAATTTAAAGTGTTCCTTTCTTAACAAAATATTTTTAATAGAGAGTTAGAGTACTTACCTAATATTTTAGGGAAAAGTAAGTGATTTTGAGTGTAGTAGGCTTTCTCAGAAGTAATTTTATTCTAGAACATAGCAAAAGTTTAATTTTACTTTTGTTGATATTTTGTGTTTAAAATAGTAAATCATAAATTGAAGTAAATTAAAAAATGAAAAAGTAAAAGTAAAAGATTTAATGAAAAATTTTGAGTTCGTAAAATTTATTGTGTCCTTAATAATATTTTTCTCATTGGATCCGAATTTTCGAATTACTTTCACCTAGATAAAACAAATATATTTATCGTTGAGTAGCGGTAACTCAAATGCCAAAGGACTTTGTCAAACACAAAATTAAAGACAATAACAAATCACACAAAAAGACTTTTTATCTTCAAAATAGATATTTGATTTATTTATATAAAATTTACGGTAATAACAAGTTGACCAGCAACCTTTATATAGTACTATATTAGCAAAAAGAACATCATTCACTTTATAATTTTCCTCGATGAGCTAATTATAAATATACTACGCTCTATATAGCAAACTAAACAACCATTCAAAAGATATTCATCAATCTTATTATGCAGATCATTCTTTACTGACTTCATTAACGAGAATGTTCTTAGTGGTAGCAATGGAAATAATCAAAGTCAGTTTCAAAGTAGATACACAAGTGACTAAAGTTTGCTTTTGTTTTACCTCTATCATCACTCTAGCAATATCCTTATTGATTCCCTTCAAAGTGAATAAACTTGTCTTCACATTTTTTAACATAGATAATAAATTTATCAATTGAAAATCAAGTTTCTAAAGTTCTTTATCACCAAATTCACTTGAATAGTAAAAGGGCATATGCACATGGAGGGGAGGGGGTTTACAACTAACGGAGTAATTTTCTTATCCACTATTAGTGGATAATACTTAATCTCTATTCGAAATATAAATCTCATAGATTTTCTGTTTCTTTAAAAATAAATAAATTGTGAGGTTGGCCCACGGGTCAACCCACTGCCCGCTTAGGACTGGATTGGACTAGCATTTTGGAGGCCCTTTTAGACGTAGAATAGAGTTGGGCTAACTATTGAATCTCCAGCCCGCTGGAGCTAGATTGGGCCGGCCCATTTTTGACAAATCTAAAAGCCTCTCAGGATTGGTTTCTTTAGTTTTTGACTTATATTTATTATTTTAGTTGATATAAGCACTTTTTTTTATTTATTCAACAATTCAAAAAGTACTTAAAAAATATTTTAATTTAAAAACACTTAAAATAAATCAATTCAAACGTGCTCTAAATTCAAGCTGCATAACTCAAATGCTGCAGTTATTTTTCTTTTTTTAGGAAGTGATCTACTTATTGACCATAAAATTGGTACAAACACAAGGATAATAATTCTACTTTATTACAATGTATAGCCAGTACAGTATTAAATAACAAAATATAAATTTTAAATGTGTAATGAGCTAATCAACTTTGGTTCTGAATTTTGAAAGAGCAGCCTCGTTGATGCTTATAAATGAATTGACAAAATCATCACCAAGCTGGTTAGGATCTGAAATCATTCCTTCATCAACTGTTATAGCAAATGTTAACTTCTTCGCATAGCTACACGCATGAACCATTAGCCCCTACAATATAGTAATTAAATTTAGCGATTTCGGCCTAACGGTATGAAAATATAATATTCTTATATATATATAACCAATGTCAACTCGTCTGTGATTGAAAATATATAGTTACTAATTTCGTTGATGGAAGAAACTTACAGTGGGCTGGCCATAGCATGTAGGGGCAAGGAATGCCAATGGATGGCCTGAGAAAGAAACTTCTTCAAGTGGACCAGCTACGTTTGAAAAAGCTAGTGTTGTTTGAGATGGAACTCTTTTAGCAAGTTTTGTTGCACCCTAGGTTGCCAAATGTTACATTAATTAATAGTTAATTCAATGTTCAATATTTTCTTGATAATTTTAAGGTGTAAAGAGGGGAAATAAAATTTGGAGTACCTTAAAGCCAAACAAGTTGAGGAAAAGCTGTAAAATGTAAAAGGTACATTGAGACTCAAGAGAACGCTTTTTTCGATCCATTGATATCTTAGCTTTGTGAACATAATCCAGAGGATTTTGTAATTGAGCTATATCTAAAGGAATTATGACAAAGCCAAAACAATTTCCTTGTATTACTATCGCATTCTTCTCAATCATTTCTGCTACGGCCTGTCGTCATATAAAGCCATGCCAACTCATAATTAATCACGTACACACACACACATATATATATATATATATATATATATATATATATATATATAGCAACACATGATGAAGAAATACTTACTTGAACTCCCAAAGCTGGTCTCAGATTCACTAGAACAGTGGCTCTGCATCTCATTTGTTCTTTCATCTTGCCTTCAACATCTAGTTAATTAAGAAATCGACGTTAGCCCCCTTTGGGTAGCGGCGAATTTATACAAAAAGAGCTTAATTAATTACCGTATTTTCGGTTGATATAACGAGACAAAGCCGCTTGTGTTATTCCCAAAATAACGTCGTTAATCGTCTAAAGATATATAAATCAGATACAAGTAATTAAAAGGCCAAAACACTGAAACAACGTTCAAATTAATAAGCATATCTATATATAATATAATACTTACAGCGTTTGTCGCATTTTTTATAAATTTAATATCATCCAAGCTAACAGTCCGATAGATAAATCTCTGGCCAGTAGAGTGGTTTTTGTTAAATCCTTTTGCAACTGTAAAAGGTGATTGAGAATCCTTCAAGAATAGAGCAGTCGCTATAAAAAGCAAAACATCAACAACTGTATTGAACAAAAGCCTGATGAACAGCCACAACTTCACAATGTACTGCCATATCAACGACCTAATATTTTTACTATTCGATTTGTTCTTCGAAGAAACTGGAAGTGTAGGCAAAGAAGTAGGATCCGATGTTTTTCGAAAACAAGAGAGTAAGAGGGACATAAGGGCAATTCCATCTCCAAGAGAATGGTGAAAACGGAAAATAGAAGTTGCCTCAGCATGGGATGTTTTCACGTTAAGTATGTGAATATCCCATAGAGGTTTCGATATGTCAATAGTTGTCGTGCTTAGGTTTGATAAATACTGTTCGACCAACTTGTCTGTGTCCATATTACTATTATTAATAATATCCAGCTGGGGTACTATGACATGATCATCTATATTCACTGTCGTCGGAACCCATCTCATTTCTCCACTCTCATCCATGACCTGTACGTAATATATTTGCAATAAGCTATACTAATTTTTAGTATAGCGGACAAGTAAAAAAAAAACGAACTGGAATAGTAATTACCTGCAAACTGGAGAAGCGTGGGTGTTTAAGCAACTTGCTTGGTATTTGGGCTTTGAGAGAGTTAATATCTAGTGGTATTTTCCAACCCATGATTGCTATAATGTGAATATTGTAGTTAGGTTCATGGAACATTCGAGAACCTGGACTCAATAATATTGCTTCTTCTTCATCATCTAATTTCTTTGATGTTCGTATAGGCTTGAGAACCATTTTCTCTCCACCACACTCCATATTAATCAAACTATACGATTTAGCAGATACTGCTGAAATTATTTAAAGAAGAAAGGAAGCTTAGCTTAGCTTTAATTGGGTGGACAAAGAGTAGTTACATTTCAACTGTAAACTAAAGAGAAACTTTTATTAAATTCATAAATTGGCACAACTGCTTGATAATGATCGATCCAAGTGATCGATGCATCAGTGATGGCTCGAATTGAAGTCATGATTGAGTATGGCGTTTGCCAACCTAATAAACTTGATTAAGAAATGATGTTACATGGTTTTACCATCAATTATAATTTTTGACATGATGATATGCGTTTTTTATTAAGTATATCTTATAGGTTAGGGACTAGAACAGTCATCAGGCTCTAAGGTGAGGGCAAATTTTGAATAAAAAAAAATAGCTTCATTATTGAATTTTAAATAGAATATTAAATTAATTTTAATATATAAAAATAATATTTAAGCTAAAGTTATTAGATTCTATTGAATCGACAAATAAACTTGTAGCTCCACACTAATCAGTGGAATAGGGAAGTGAATTTGTTCCCTACATCTTAAATTCTCTGAAAACATACATAAAATGGAATAATGATTTAGTACGACGCATTTAAAGGTCGGTAGGTTGATTGATGTAATTATTTTAACATTTATTTAAAGTTCAATGGCTATCCTTGTACCATTTGTTAGTATGTAACAAGTAGAAGAGAAATAGCTGAGACAGTTGGGAAAAATGTTGTCACTTTTTTCTGAGAAGAGACAAAAGGTACCAAACGAAACTTGTGAACATATGAATTTAGATGCATGCCACGTTATTGCAAATTAAGTGACTCAATATTTGGCATTAAATAAGATGGGAGATCTTTGTATAGTCTCTCTTTTTTGCTACAATCTTATCTTTACACTAACTAATTAAATTATTTAGAAGTTAGCTAGGTAGTCACGATCTCGTAGTGGAAATCGAATATATATAGTGATTAAATCGCTATTATTATTATTATTATTATTATTATATAAAAATAGCTAATAAATAATAAATGAAAATATCAAAAAATTATGAGATTTGGAAAAAAATTTAATTTATGTCTAATTTTTGGACACAATAAAATTAAAATTTAATTCACTTCAAAAGAATACAAGTGAAATATTACAAGAATGAAAAGAAAATTCAAAAGTCTTAAAACTAAGAAGACAGATGAAAGATATGTTACAAATAAATCAAAGTTACATGTTTATAGAAATGAATTATTTCTTTTAATGTCGTAAATAACATCACTAGATCTGAAAAGGTCAAGCTTTAATTTGTGAAATTCCGTCCATTTAAATAGTAAAATACTAATTAACTACAATCTACAAAGTGTAGTAGTTATAATATTTTCTTTTATTGTACATTTGTACTCACTCAAACGATTTTGTTCAAACGCAAATATCTTTGAAATTCCATTTTTTCTAATTAAAAATAGGTAGATTTTCGGAAGGTAAATCTAGTTGGTCAAAACGAGGATATATTCCCCCCAAAATGCGTGGGATTAATTACTAAGCCCCGGTTTATCCTCGTTAACCACAAATTTTCAAAACTTTAAACTCCCCCATGTATCACACAAGTAATATAATCGTCCTTAAATATCTCTCTAGTACTAATTAATAACTACCTTTGAAAAGAAAATATCACAAAATTACGTTTAACAACGTAACAAGGAAGAAAATAGAGAGATTAAGGAGGTGATCATTAAACAAGGCAGCCGGCAACGATTGGATTAATTAGCTTCTTAATTACAATTTTGTGTTGTTTGCTCATTGAAACGCTAATTAATAATACTTAGAATGGCCTGGTCCCCAAAATATGCTGCCAATGCATATCTTGACACCCTCAAATTGGTAAGTCTCCTATTTAATTATTTACATCTCTTCCTTTTGGCTCTGTTTTGAGCATCCCTTGGATTGCGACTCTTCTTGAACTCTGCTAATATATGTTATTTTATGCACCGGGCTGCCTTGCCCATATAAATTCTCTAATTTTAACGAACAAAATTCTGATTCCTGGTACATGTGGATGAGAAACCAATGGAAGCATGCCTGTATATTTCAGAAAACTAAAAAATAATAATAATAACAAAACCTCCTTTGTGTAACATAGAAAGAATGGCTCTGATTTTTTAAAATACCGATTCTTTTAATTTACCTGGTCAAAAATTTCATCCTCTATTGAAAAAGCATTGATATCCATTTGAGATTTAACATTTTCTTCTTACAATATCTACAATGGAAAAGGGTCAAAACTATCCTTCGATTATATGAAATAGACCAGATATACCCTTCAATTATTTTGGGCTCAAAGTTATCCCTCGTGTCTAACTATTAGATCACTTCTACCCTTCCTTTTAATGGAATAAAATGTGGCATCCCATGTGTAAATTATAACGCCACATAGACGTCCACCTAATTTTGAGCCCCATAGAATGCATTGCAAAGGTCATGAGATCAAACCCATTCACATCAAAAATTCAAATACCACCATGTTCCTTCTAAAGAAACATTATAATGTGTGCTCATTTGTAAATACCAAATTCACACATAACTGACTGATTTGTTGGAATAATTTGCAGTGTGGCAAACACAATCAGATGTGCAATTCATGTACTGGAACACAAGAACCAGAGTGCAATGAATTCCTATCAGCATTAGCAGCTGGAATGAGCGCGAAGCTAATAGTGGAAGTCACAACAGAAGGCTCACCCTCAACCGTAGCCTTAGCAGCGGCAGCTCGTCAAACAGGGGGCAAATTAGTCTGCATTATACCCGAACCAATACTCGACAAAACACAAAAAGTAATTCAAGAAACAGGGCTAAACGACATGGTAGAATTCAAAACAGGGGACCCTGTTGAAATCTTACACAACTACGAGAACATCGATTTCTCATTAGTAGATCGGAAGACAAATGATTACGAGAGGTTGATGGAGAAACTTGACGTTAATCCAAGAAGATCAGTCGTCGTTACGAATAATGTACAAGGGAGAAAAGGAATAGGAGGACATTTGAAGAAAGTGGAGAATAAAGTAAAGGTAAGATCACTACAACATCCAATTGGTAAAGGATTAGAAGTTACAATGATTGGTAAAAGCACAGAGTTTGGGAAAAAGGAAAATAGGAGCAAATCAGGATGTTATTCTCATTTAATTAGAGGTGGAGAGAATAAAAATGGGCATGTAGTGAAAAAGGGTGATAAGAGCAAATGGGTTTTTGTTGTTGATGAAAAAAGTGGTGAAGAACATATTTATAGGATGCCAAAATCATCTGCACCTTAATGAAAAAGCCATGATTTTCCAAGTGAACTGAAAAAAAATGTGAAGGCACTTGTAAAATGAGTTTTTTTTTTTTAAATTTTTTTTTTTTTATGTTATACCCTTTTTTCTAATTTCTATTTCCATCCCCCCTTTCTTTTTGCTTTTTCATGAGGAAGGAGAAGGGGCAATGGAGATTGTTGGTTTTATTTAGGTGAGGAGATAGTGATTTTATATTGTGAATGGTCTCTTGTTACTTTGTTTTATCTATTCCAAACACATAATTCAGCATTTTAACTTCTGGCATATCATTGTATTGATTATCCTACTTAGAAAAACACATATAGACTAGTAAAAAACATAAATATACCATATAAAGAACTTAATAACCACTATATAACAATAATTTTATTTTTCATCAATATAGCAATATTATTTTTTCAAAAATAGAAAATAATATTAATTAATAAAAAAAGGGAATATAGAGACCTGATTACCCACGATTTCTCCCATTAGAAACGGAAAATAATATTACCAAAAATAAATAAATAATAGAGGCATGATAAGGCACAGTTTTCTCCCATTCCTTAAATTTTTCCCATTTTTATATTTTCCTTCCACATTTAACTGCAATTGTTACATATTCCCTCCCCTCATCAAACTACGTATTTTACCAAAAACAAAACACTCTACCACTTCTATTCTTAAAGTTTTTTCAATTATGGATATAAACATGGTTTCAATTCTAATTCAACACAATGGACAATGGAATGCAACAAGTATGTGTGGAAAGAGCATGGCATAATTGGTGATTGATTTAACTATCGAATTTAAATTTTTCTTTTTTTTTGTGATTTCTATTTTTAAATCGGACAATAATAGTATTTTGTTGGATGGCGTTGGCATATTTGATATGGTATAAATATACACCAAATTTGTTTGTTGTATGTGTATTTGTTGCTACGGAATTGGTTGATTGGTTTACAAAATGAAATTTAAAAAATTGGGTATTTTTTTCCGTGATTTTTAATTCAAAAATTGACCATATTAGTGATGTGTATGATGGTGTAATTGATATATTTTAGATATTTAAGCTTCTTTTTTTGGTATATGTGTAAGTGTATTTCATTAATTTTAGATAATTTATGGAAAAAAACACATAATTAGCTTGGTGTATGCGCACTTGTAAACACCATTATGTTATATATCTATATTGCTGAATTTCTTATCAAATTATAATTGTACTAGGTTGTTCATGTACTAGTTATTTACTAATCTCACTAATTGTTTTGAATAACAATAAGTTGTAATGTAACACATGAAAGTAGTCATGCAGTTGCTGCTATCCGATACAGAAACAAACATCGCGAGAATTATTGTTCATCCTATTATAGTAATACGAATTTTCTAGATACTTGTGCAATCTCGAACCATTGCCTTGCGAAAGCACATGAGAGATTCCATCAGATTTTTTAGAAGAGATAGTGTTACCACCTGATGCGAGAAAGCAACAAGAGAGACCACCAAATAACGACACTAAAAAGGGATTCAATGAAGGGAAATTCAAAAGGTGTAAGGTCAGTTGTAGTAAATATGGTACACCTGGGCATAACAAGAAGACTTGCCCTAAATTTCCATCTCTGAATTAACATTGTTGTGTTATAATTGTTTTTTTGGTTTTATTTAATTTTTTTATGTTGTTGGATATTTTATGGTTTTATAGAATTTCAGTTAATTTTGGAGAATGTTGATTTCACTTTGTACTAATATTGGTGAATGTTGAATTACTAATTTGTAATATTGGTGTATAGAATGTTATAACATTGGTGTTTGTGTATTTGAATAACACATTGTTGTTTTCTTGATTAAATACAATTCATATTTATTGTTTTAAGATATTTAATGATATAAACTAAGTTTTTTATACACCAAATTTATATAAGAAAATGGTTCTGTAAAGTCTAATATATATGATTATGTATTAAATATATATTTTAAGCATTCAAAAGTAATATTGGTGTAAAATAAAAAGTTATTGGCTAATTTGTAATGCCGGAGTAATAAATGTTATAACAATGGTGTTTGGGTGTTTGTTTAAGGTAACTTTGTTTAATACATTGTTGTTTTCTTGGTGAAAATAAATTACAATTTTTTCCGAGATAAACATAAATTTACCTTTTTGAATATCAAACTTATATATTCATTTCAATTGTTGGTATAATATGTATTGATTGTTGGTAATATATACTAACATTACTACGTGATTCTGTAAAGATAACTACATAAAAATTGTATTTTGATAGCACAATGGAACCAACATTGTAACAATATATACAGTAATAAATATATGTAATAGTTAGATGGATGAACAAAAAATATGCATCAAAATGATCGAAAATACCAATTAAAGTGTTATTCAAATGTATAACAAAAAACATAATGTACATCCTTGTTCCAGTCAATATCCTTCTTTTTCCCATAATAATCAGTACAAATTAAGAGCACAAGAATCATTTTTGACAGTTTTGCACCACTCCAAAGGCCGCTTTTGTATGCTTTGCCCCATGTTCATCACTTAAAAACAAGCGAACTGTCAGCAACAACAGTAGACCAATTAAATCTAGGACTTTTTCTGAGCGTCTTCTCCATAGAAATACTGATAAGAAAGTGTAGATGAAATCTGAACTGAAAATAAACCGATGAAGAACTTAATATGAAACGACGGATAAAACCTAAAGAAGATGAACAAAAAATATGCATCAAAATGATCGAAAATACCAATTAAAGTGTTATTCAAATGTATAACAAAAAACATAATGTACATCCTTGTTCCAGTCAATATCCTTCTTTTTCCCATAATAATCAGTACAAATTAAGAGCACAAGAATCATTTTTGACAGTTTTGCACCACTCCAAAGGCCGCTTTTGTATGCTTTGCCCCATGTTCATCACTTAAAAACAAGCGAACTGTCAGCAACAACAGTAGACCAATTAAATCTAGGACTTTTTCTGAGCGTCTTCTCCATAGAAATACTGATAAGAAAGTGTAGATGAAATCTGAACTGAAAATAAACCGATGAAGAACTTAATATGAAACGACGGATAAAACCTAAAGAAGATGAACTGAATGTGAACTATTGAGAATAATTAAAGACAACAATAAAGAAAACATTCCTGCCAAAACTAGATTACATAAAAAGTAACAAAAATAAATGCTATGAAGAGAATATATGATCAAATACATAAATATTTTTCTCTACATACATAGATTAACTCAAAAAGGAAAAGAGATAAAAGAATGGAAAAGAAGAAAACGTGTAAGCCAGTAAACTTTGATTGGGAAGTTAAAAAATAAGAAAAAGTAATATCATATTTATCCATCCCCATAAATTATGCACATAATCCAAAAAAAGGGGAAAGTTTAATATTAATAAAACACGAAAAATCCAGTCTTTGCAATATTGGTAATTAAAAAGTTAAGTTTATAATTAAAAAGAAATATGTGCATATTATGTTAATAAAAGTCTTAAATTGTATATTCTTGTAATTTAATAAATATAATAAAAGTATTTAAACTAGTCTATATAGTTCTACACTTCTATTTACATCAACCTCGTGATAAGAAGACTTAATTTTGGAGTTTCAATGATTGAAAGTCTTACAATGATTTTTTCGGTATTTTTTAAATATTTTGAGTTATCAATTATTATGAATTACATTTCTTTTTTAAAAAATGTGTAATTTTTTTTTTTTTTTAAATTAATAAATACATGTCCAAATTAACGATTTGACTCTTAAAATTTGACCAATGCCACAAAAATTTGCTTTGCCGAAATAAGAGAACACGAACATCTTCTGAAATAATTTAGTGCTAGCATATCCATCAAATCAATATTCATATATTAATAATCAATTATAGGCCTGTAGAATATCTGAAGAAATTTGGAAGATACGCAAAAGGAGTTTCTTTTACTTTTTAATTAAATAGAGGAGCAGACCTGCAGACTGCAGTGCCACGAACTCAAGTTCATTAGGAGTAAGTAGATTTTTTTGTAATAACAATAATAATATATCATTATAATTTTATAAGTAGAGTTTGAGAATACTAAAATGTATACAGATTTTATTTTTATCCGCGAGGGATAGAGATATTAGTTCTCATTAACTCAAAAGAAACAAAAAGAACTTAGGAAGGTGAAAAAGGAAAAGAAACAAAAATAACGATGTACAAAACAAATAGTATATAGTTCATTATATGTGGAGTAAAACTAGACCAAATTCATCGTAATATAAATTTAATTTTAAATTGTTGTACCCATATTAAATTTAATGTTGAATAAAGATTTTTTTATAAAATGCTCAATCTCGAATCTTTCTTTGATTTTTCGCTTATTGAGCTTAGTTGTGGATAAAAGCCAACACTATAATAAGGTAATTCTTTCAAAATTTGAATCTTGTTTGAGGAGTATTTTAAGTAATAATTTGAATCACAAATTTAAACCTTTTTTTTCAAATAAAATTCATGTTAAACACAAACATTTAACTCTCAAATGCATTTCTTTCAGCTTCAACTTGTATTCCTTTTTTTTCCAACATCAACCACTAATTTCTTAGACGACTTGTTTTTCTTTTCTTTTTCTATGAATATGGAATTAAGTTAATCGACATAAAAATAAATTAAAATTCAAAAAGAAAACTTGGTAACGTTTTCTTTCTTAATTCTCAAGAGAAAACCTACAAATTATAAATTTGTAATTTTCAAATAGATTCTCGATTTGTTCTTAATTTATTTATTTCAGTAGTCCATGGTCAGTTATTTCTATCAATTATACTTTTAACCTCAATAAAATCATGATGCCAGATCTCGATTTTTCATATATAAATGTAACTAATGTATCTCCTTCGTACTCAAATCTAGAGTCTTGTAATTATTACCAGCCACTTCCAACCACCATCCCCACCACCTTCTTCTTCAATCTTTAATAAACCTCAACTTCAAGAAAACAATTTACTAACAAACAACCTTTACCAAACCTTGATCTTGAACAGTTTCTTCATTGCCTATACAGCAGTACAACATAGGCTGCTCTAAGTATTGATTCATTTTCTTGGTAGAAAAAAATATGAAAACAGATGAAATCTCAAGATTGTTGGTGCTGTCAGTGTTCTTTGTGATTTTGTTTGGTTTTCAAAGAGAGAAGAATGTGGTAGTTATGGCTATTGATGAAGATGAAAAAGCGCTTTGTAGCGTTAATCTGGCAGAATTTCTTCCTCCTCCATATGGTGGTCTTGAAAATATGGTTTGTCAACCTGTTTGGAACTCTTTTCTGCTGCGTGCAAGTATTCTTAAACATTGCACAATATACATTTGGATTTACAAGACTATTAGCATCTAGTATTATCAACTCATCATCGCATTGTTATAACCAATGACCTGATAGTATTCCAATATATCACCAGAAAAAGTCCCTAATGCAAAGTCATTAACAATAAGATTGCAAAAAGATTCAAAATTTTACACCAACAGAACAATAAACTTGAATGACATCAATCTTAGTTTCAGGATCAGTACTCACAGAGTAAAGATAATGTTGTCGCTTGTCGCCATTGTATTGCCAACTGAGTATACAACAAGAAAACACTAAGTTTCAACATTCATGCTTTAAAAACGATGAGGCTGATGTACTCCCATCCTCCCAATTATTTAGCATCATTTGACTAGACATTGAGTTTAAGAAATAAAGGACTTACACTAGGTCCACACAATCATGCATGTCAACTGTAGAAGAACATCTCATTAAGGACAAAATTAGAAGGTAAATATTAGGAGTTTCTAGATAACGAAAGGTGTCTGTCTTTTTCAGGACAGAAAAAAAAGAAGATAAAGTGCCAAGCAATATTGAACATCATGTAGCAGCTTATAATGCAATTATAATGACTTCCAACTAAATTTCTGATTACAGTACTCTCAAAGTAAAGACAATGTGATCACCATTGTGTTATCAACCATTTACACAAGTGGATGGGTAGGAATAGGGTTCTCCCGCGACGGAATGATGATCAATTCTAGCTGTATGGCTGGATGGGTGACTCCTGCAGGTCATGGAAAAATCAAACAGTATTATGTTGAGGGCTTCACTCCCTCGAAAATCATACCAGATAAAGGAGAGTTGCCATTGGCAAGTGTTCCACCTCTCATCTATCTTCAAGGTGCCACAGTTTACTTGGCCTTCCAGTAGAAGTACCCAACTCCTCTCAAAACTCAACCAATGTTACTAGCCTTCACCAAATATCCTCAGCACCACCATCTAACCGCTCATGAGGATAAAACAACCATAAAATTTGACTTCTCTTCAGGTCGGCTTATCTCTGTCTCTAAGTATCAAGTTTAAGAACAAGTGTATCAAAATTAACTGTAATATGTGCACTAAAGCAATGGCCTTTTTCACAATCAACAATTTATACATATTAGCTCCATTCTCAGTTGTCTTCATAAAGCTTGTATTTAGATGTTTGTCTACTTTGGTTGAGATGTTTCTCTTTCTCCTCAGGTTCTCCATTTGCTGTCACTGCTACACCTAATAACTATATTAGCTCAAAGACCCATGGGGTATTGGGTATATTGGGATGGGGACTATTCTTGCCCTTTGGAGCCATTTTCACAAGACACTTTAGGAGCCAACCATTATGGTACTGCTTTCATGTATCTGCTCAATTCATAGGATTCATACTAGGACTTGCCGGAGTGGTTCTTGGAATTCAGCTCGACAACAAGCTGCAACCCGATATTCCAGGACATCAAGGCATAGGCATTCTTATTCTTGTGCCTAGCATTCTTCAGGTTTGTCCCTAATCTCATTCAGCAAAAATGATACTGAAAACTTGATCGATCATATGCTAAAACTATGTTTTAGTTGCTGCAACACTAATCATGGAGAACAAATATAGTAGAAAAGATTGGCAAACATGTTCATTCTATTGAATGAATGCTTTCCTTTTTAAAATTTATGTCAATGACTCAATGTCTGTGTTATGTCACATATTTTAGGATCATAGAAAATGTTCTAACATTCGCTTTACTTTTACAATCACGTGTAGGTTTTGGCATTCTTCGTAAGACCAGATATAGACAGCAAGTATCGCAAGTACTGGAATTATTATCACAGTTGGGTGGGGAGGACAGCTCTCTTCTTTGGAGCTTTGAACATAGTATTGGGGATGCATTATGCAGGTGCAGGGCAAGGATGGAAAATAAGTTACGGATTTATTCTCGCTTCAACAATGCTGGCATGCATCATCCTGGAAATGTTGCTAAGGCAAAAGAAGTTGGATGAACCAACTCTTCCTTCAAACTACGCTATGAATACAATCTAGCAAAGATCTAAAAACTTTAATTGTTATAGGTAGACTGGGTGAACAAGTAGATCCCCCCCCCCCAAGCATTTCATTCACCAATAGGAGTGCTCTTTACCATAGTTGTATAGAATTCTGTCCAAATTATACTTTTGTGGGTGAATTTGGATTCAGCAGGCTCAGTACTCTAAGGGTCAAGCCTCCTTGAAACAAACTCAACACCTTTGCTGGTGCTCTTCAAATATTTCTCCTCTGAAGGAAAAACTGAACTTTCCCTTCTTTATTTCACATTCTTCAGTGCTTTCCGATAGATTACAATTTACATGTATTGACAACTTTTACCTAGCAAACATTTGTTTCTGGAGATCACCGGTATAGTATTGTGACATTGAATCAGTATGTATTTTACCCTCTACTCATCAGAGCTGTTGTTAGACACCTAATAGTCTTACAATGTATGCTACATGATTACTCAGGATAATATCCAGCCAGCATATAGGAGGAATGAACAGGAGTGGTTCTTAGCAATGACATACACTCAGTTTTCAGTACTTTTTAACATCGGAACTTGGAATCATTTTATGCAACTCTAGGTTCTACTAAATACTGTAAGTAAATAAAAGTGTGCCTCTGCAAGCTTCCTTTGTACAACTTGGAACTTAAATTTAGATCAACATTGCAGTTGCTCTTTCTTTATTGGACTGAGAAAAGAGATGATGGTGCATCCCATTAGAAAGTGAAGCAAATTCACGCCAGAATCAGAAAGAAATGCTAATTTATGAGAGAGAGAGAGAGAGAGAGAGAGAGAGAGAATCAGAAAGAAATGCTAATATATATATGTGTGTGTGAGAGAGAGAGAGAGAGTGAGTGAGAGAGGGAGGAGTTATATACAGAAAACAGAAAAAATGTATCTCATTCCTGAATAAAGATATATGGTCAATGGCGAAGTCAGCACAGGCAATTTGGTTAAATGGTCAATAAACTTAATTAAGCACTTTCCAGAACTCCATCCAAATCAAACCCAAAAATCTCAGAATTCTTTCCAGATCGTTTTAGATTTTGAACTTAGAGAAGAATGCATTGCATACAACTCTGCAAGTCCTAGATCAGATGCAGATATACTTTGTTGGAGCAGTTGAAGAATAATTTGGTAACGTATACAAGTCAGTGAAACCAATAATCACTAGCAACTGAGAAACAAGAAAACAATTTAATTTTATATTGCACTATGCTCCTAAAAAGACAAAATGTTCTAACCAAACTGTGAAGCTTACACAGAAAAGACAACTCCTTAGCACCAAAAAGTATGTTGAGAAGTAAACCTGCATGTCAATAAAAAACATGTATAATCAGAAACCATGCATTGTAGCTACATGGACTAAATCAATATCAGATGCCATCAAAGAGTTGAAAACATAACACCATAACAGTATGCAGTTTTGATCATTTCTAGAAGTCTTTCTATAGAAGGATATGGGATTGTAATCGTTTGCTACGTGAGGCTACAACTTGCTTATTCACTTACTGATATGGTCACCCACTGAATCTTTTAGAATTTTTACAGTTCTCAAAGGTAAATTATTCCATTAATGTTATCCCAACAGTAGTTTGGTCAAGAAGAAGCTAGATGTATCTCTACTTTCCCAGAAGGTAAATGAACGACTAAGCAAAGGATGATCTTTTCACCCAATAGGCAGCAGAAAATGGCCTTGGTGAGGAGAGTAATATCTCTTGAAGAGAACTAACCTTCAAGTTAAACTGAGGCATAGTCTGAAAGCCAACTAACATCAAAGTCATGAGAATTGGAACAGCAATAAATTCCAGCAGTCATGATATACGACCAACAGATATGTATACTCAGCTTCAATAGACCATTCTGCTAGGTTTATCTCGTAAAAGACATAAAAACAGCCTCAAGTAGCAGTCGTTATGCCATGTTCATGTGAATCAAAGCTGGTAGAGCTGGGAACCTCAGTCTCCCTTATTACCCTGCTATATACAGCTTTGAAGGGCTGAGAAGAATATGGTCTCTTGAGCAAACTTATAGGCATTCTTAGAGTTTGTTTGCGGTTCCTCCGGCCCCGTACCAAAATGTTGAAGGTCTTCTCATTATCTGTCTCCGTAAGATTTCTTTGCACATGATTATCACTGCAACTTCCGGCTTTCTCATTTGATCCACTTCCCTCTTTTGATTGATCACTAGACAAGGTAACAAAATGTGAATCTGGAGTGTTGCTTGCTCTCTCTTTTTCTGGTCCAACTGCAGCTATGCTCTCCACTGTTTCTGCTGCTGGAAGATTTACATCTTCCTTGACTTCATCCCCAGTGTTGAGATCTACTAGTAAGCTTGTTGTCAAACTAATACTTTCAGGATTATCAGATAGCTCCTTAGCAGCGGAAATTGAGTCGGTTATAGGCTCAATCACAGGTGGTGAGATAGAAAACTCGACTGGGTGGCAACCAGGCCAAACTGTGGCAGGAACATACTCTGATGCATTAGGAGCTATATTGCATTGCCAAGCATAATGATTCGGATGGAAAGTGCTGCTATTCATGGGGAATGTACTTGGAGGTAACGTCTGGGGTTGAGAATACGGAGGGTAGATAAAGCGCAATGGGTGCATCATGTTTGGGGTGTGTGGAGGTGAAGGGTACAGGTGATGAGGGGAGGAGCACATTGGACTAGGCAAGATGGTCGGTGGTCCTTGATGAAGAGACATGTTCACTGACCAAGGACCAATAGGTGGTCGTATTCCAGGAGGAGAAGGGAGATTAATGTTCATAGGTAATGGTGGTACGCGGGGAACGGCTGGGGAAGGGCTGAATGGTGCTGCTGATGCGGATAGCTTTCTGGACAATTCTCGACTTGCATCACTTGCATGAGATGACGCAGATTTTACCTTCAGATGATCCATATCTTGCAAGGTCATATTTGAGATACAGCCAGGATTTAAATTGCTTGATGAGTCCTTTTCACAGGGATCCACTTTGGGGGAATTGTCAGAAGTAGGGACATTATGAGTTTCGACACTACCCTGTTCCATTGGACTAACATCAACATGGCCGAGTTGAATAGATGCATTTGCAGATATCACATCTGAAATTTCACCACCTTTGAAATCACTCATTTGAATTTCTTCTTTATTGTCAGTAGCTACTGTTTCACTTTTTACATGATTAGCAGAATCTGCAACTAGATCCTGAATGTTCTCTTTCTCCATGGATTCTGCATCTCTTCCCATTATTTTGGAATTTTCTTCTGCTCCATTGCTCTCCTTTCCTTTCATAACGTCTTGATTATCAGGAATTTCATCTTCAGAAACTCTCTCCTGCAACATAGAGATGGTACCTGGCGGGGCAAGTGCTACTTCCTTATAGGAAGGAGATTTTCCTAGGTTTACTATTGAACTTCTCTTTGATAGTGATCCAACCTCCTTTGTTGTAGAAACTTGGACCTGCTCTGATGAAGTATTTAACAAATCTCCTCCAGTTGTGGAGATCTCAGGAACAGCATCTCTGACAGAAGATGACACAGACTTCACACGGTAGGCTACAGCTTTTATGACTCTTCGACCAAGTTTCGTACCAGGAGTTTGACTTTTTGCTAAGTAATAATCTGCATAACTTCCTGGTGATGTACGTTTCTTTAAGACATAATATTTACTAGCTTGATAGTTATTCTTCAATTTAGCATGATCAACATCAGAAATTGGGTCCTTTTTCTGGTAACCAATGACCTTGCTGATGGTTTGACGCCTCTGCCTTCGTCTTCGTCCATAGAAACCACCTGACCTTGGTCTCTGCACTGGCTGCCATCCATCTTCTGCTTCAGCAGAAGGTTCAGATAAGACTTCACGGATCATAGACTTCTCAATTGAAGTTTCCTTCAACAAGGGTCCAGATTGGATGGGTTTATTCTCAGTAATTCCTCCATCTCCAGTGTGATGGGATTCAATTACTGTGTCAACAGGTTCCATATTCATCTTGGGATCAGTGTGATCTTCGATAATTTGTTTCTCCTCATCTGCCTCTTCTTTTAGAACATCTTTAGGAGTGTCTGGTATGGCAACATTGTTTTGATCAGATTTTCCCTTCACCTGAGAAATAAGAGCCTGAGAAAAAATATGGCAAAAAGGAAAAGGATAAGAGAGCATGTCCACTTTTACAATATATAGCGCATTATTTGCACATTCCGTGTGGAAGCATGATAGGCAGTTTATCAGGCATATGCAATGTGTGTCAATGCCTACTTAGGGGAAAATAGGAAGAACATAAGGCAAACAGACCTTTAGAGAGCCTGAAATTCAAAGCTTCTAAACATTACCAGTTTTCTGTTAAACTAGTTCTCACTCATTCTCTCTCCTCTTCCAGACAAGTATTACAGATGGTAGACCTTCCCACAGAAAGAACATGATTGCTTCTGCTTATTTTATAACAAGTTTGCATAAGATGAAAAACTTCATCCAAGCTTATTTCCATGAACCTATTCATGCTGATACATATTGGAAAATCATAAGCAAGAAACAAAGATATTGTACTCCAATCACCACGTACCTTTGAGACAAAACCTCTTCTTTTTGATCCAACATCTCTCCCTTTGGCATCGGGACTTGGATTAATGTAGTCGAGCAAATCTGACACACTGCGCAATAGAGTATGTCACCACAAGATTTAAACTGAAATATTTTACTTACTGTTATCTAGAGTATGACCATCTGCTTGTACATTTTTGTGAAATCCTATGTGCATAAAATTTATGCAATTACAAAGTCAGGAACAAAAAGCTTTTACATTGGCAGCCATTGAACATTGTCCTTTCTAGATAAATTCATAACTGAGGATCTTAAAATGAAAAAAGAGAAACACCAAATGGAGTGTCATAACAAATATAAATAGATGGACTGAAGGCATTGGTTCAATAAAATAATCAGGATGCCTTTGAGCATAAATTGAAGAGACAGGACATGAAGGCATAAGTGAACTATCTTGTAGTTTCAAAGCAAAAGGGCGAGACAGTGGGC